AACCCACGCTAATTCTAACCCTGGCCCCCTTTTCGAAACCTTCGAGAATTCCAACAAGAACCGGGGCGAACAGAGCGGTCAATTAATCCCTGCAGTCTTTTTTTCTCTCTCCCTTCAACACCAGCACCAGACTAGGACAAGGGTTGCTCACTGCCCCGGAAGCATCCCCCAGGACCACCAAGTACGGTACGTGCGTGTACGTGCTCAAGCTGACGCTACAGTAGGTAATGTACCTACGGTCGACGCCGAAGCCTTGCGGGGACATGGCAATCAACACGAGATGACGGATGGATCCTCTCATTTCTTCCACGAGGAGAGAACAATCGACGCCAAAAGCGCGCGCCGTTACGCAGAAGTTGAAGGCTCTACTGACTACTGTACACAGAGTACGTACATGCAGTAGTGTCGGTGTTGGTGCTGGTCCGAAAACGGCGTCAGAAGAATCAGGGCGAGCGACAAGTCAAATTTTTCAACCGTCATGCAGACGGCTGCATGCCTGCCCTACATACTGTAGTGATGGTGCTGCTGCAAATGCTATACTGCAAGTCGTACTCGTGGCTGTGACAGAGTGGCTCACCAGCAGTTATTACTTCATAGGGAAATACAAGACACCTTGTTCCCCTCCCTGCTTCCAGCGATCCGTTTGGATCGGGCCACCCGGCCTGCTGGGTTTGCTATCGTCTACACTCTTCTGAAACACCCTACGAGATTTTCTCATCCGCGCTCGTTTTCTATGCCTGTCTGGCATCTGCCCGCTGACTGCCTCACTTTTTTCTTAGGCAGGCGGGGGTCCATCTGTCATTGCGTAGGTGCAGTTCATAATACAGGTGCAGTAGTCTGCGACATGGGATGGGATGGGATGGCCCTCCCCTACCGAGACTACCTCATTTGTACCGTACAATCGACGAGATGCATCAGATCAACCCAGCCCACCGGGTCGCTTGTCCGCCGCCCCCTTTTTCCCCTGAGGCCAACGAGTCCGGCTCTTTTTTGTGGCCACTCGGCTTCTCCCCTTCAGCGGGGCGCCATGCGACAGGCTTCAAGAAAAGTAGCTTTCTAGTAGCACGAGACCTCCCGCGGCGTCTCGAGCTGTACCGGCAAACACTGCGATGATCCACTTCTACCAGTCCGGAAGCCAGGAAGTCCTTCCGGACTACACAAGGATTTCAAAAGGGAAGAGGTAGACATTGTTATTGGATAGTAAGAAGCGCCCGGACTTGACGATGACGACAGAAGATGTGCAACTCATCCACGGCTGACGCGACACCTTATCTTCGATGAGCGACAGCGAAGCCGAGGTCGCTCAATACTGGCTACAGCTCATGTGTGTGAGGCTCTTCGCGCACAACTCAAAATCAAGAAAGTCTCAGGCTTCACCGACGATATGACTCTAATATCTGCACCTTGACTTGCAGATGCAACACGGATCTGACACCTACCCGGCAGACGCCTGAAAGCGTCCACGTCGTCGGTACCCATTCGAGTCTATTTCAATCACCTACTGCACATCATGCATACAGATCAAAGGGAGCCGCGGGCGCGTGTGAAACAGGCGAGTGATACTGCACTATGCCGCTTCTGTGGCAGCCAGCCGCGAGCATTCAAGTGGGGGCCAGGCCTAGATTTTAGCCACTTCCTGTGCTACACAAGACGTATTCCGGGCTTGAATACGGATACACGCTGGCAAAAGCTGCCTGTTCCTCGTTCCTGGGTTTGCCCTTCCCCAGCCCGGCAGTGTTCAACTCGAACCTTGTTGCAGTGCCGAGATTCGGTCAATGGAAGTGGATTTGAACCTGGCCATGAGAGACGCAATTTCATACCGACTGCAGCAAAAGGGCGGCTCCCGAGTGGTGACAAGGCACGGGTGTACGGTACAGAACCGCATCCAGCATCTTTGAACCTGCTTGTAGACTAAAAAAGGCGATCTAAATTGTATCTTGTGGAGTCGGCTACACTTCCGGCAGTCTTTGTCGTTCGGGGCTTACGGCCCAGCGGGTTGGGTGCGAGTGGACCTCTTGACTGACTGACGAGCTCAAAGTCGAGTCAGAGATGGGTGCTACTCTGTACTGAACGAATTACTGACGTGGGCCACTGAGAAATGTACCCTACAGTTCATATGCCTGAAACCATCACCTCAGTTGTTCTATTTTCAAGCCTCAATCACCGCCAGTTTCGTCTTGATGCCGGCCTACATATGTGTGGCTTTCGCGCCGCAGCGCGGTTCCACGTGCATACGGTAGGCGAAGAGTCCGGTGCGGCATGGCGGTGACAATGTCTCGGGTTCCTGATCAGAATCTCACACCTCAACGTTCAACCCCTTGTTCGCTCATCCATGGGTAGCTCCCTTCTTTCATTAACCCTACTTTATGGGGCTCCGGGGGCTATCAAATGCACTCCTACGGATACTTCAAACACACATGTTTTGTGCATTTATTGGCGCTTCATCTCTATGACTGTTCACGAAACTGTGAAAATTTCTCATTGATGTCAGGTCGCGGCCCGACATATGGCTAGGAATCTGTTCGTTTAACGTCAGCCACGTGTCTGTCAGCTGGACGACACTCTGCCAAACCCAGAGTTAACATACAACGAGTCAAATTACAATATTGCTGGCCGGGCTATTTTAACGAGCACCGTTGTCGAGAAATCTAGGATCTTTCCAAGTGAAAGCCCCGCCCGGCTGAAGGATGATGTCTGTGTCGGTTACTGTACCAGTAGTCTCAACTGCTTACTATAGACATGCCCTTGAGCTTGGCACCACTTACACATGGATGACTCGGCCTAGTCATGTCTTCTCGGCCGACTGATATGTTGAGAGGAACAGATACTCCGCCCCAAGACGACATCTCATCGACGAGCGGTGCCTCGTAACAAGCATGATATAGTCGTAACTTGACTTCGCTAAAGCTAAACATAGCACAGTCATGTCCTTGGACAACATCCCGGTATCACTGCCTTGCACACCGAGTAGGAGACGAGAGGAGAGGAAACTTGACGGTTCTGTCTGCTTCCAGGCCAAAGTCTCGAGCTCGTATGTAGTGAAACATGGTTGATGTATGACAAGGCTGCGGTGTTCTGATGGTGCTGGCAATGCAGGTCGATCCCGAATGACTCCTTCATGCATGGAAGTCATCTGCTGACTGTGTGATCCATCGCTCTGGAAACCATGAACAACGGCATGAGATGTTTCGTCCAGATATGCCGGAATAGATGGCCGGCGGTGGGTGTGGGCAAACAACCAAAAACCCATCAAGCGAACAGCATATCACAAATGGAGCCAGCATGCTACTGTATGCAGGGAAATTCACCATGAAAGAGGGTTGTCTACCTGCGTCTGCCTGATATTGACAAGATGAGTTGGCTGAGAATGTGGGGGGTTTCAGCAATATCGACTTTTCGGAATAGACATTTACAACACCGCAACTCCTATCGCAACACATCGAACTGATATCTTTTTGTGCTCTACTCCAAATCGACGTCACCACGCACCGCCAAGACTGGGATAACGGGCCATGCCATGTGCCAGGTCAATTGGTGGTGCTGGTGCTGGCGCTGCTGACTGACAGACATTCGGCTCCGCTGGAATCGCTATGCTGTACGCTATTTTGTACACTGAAGAGGTGTGGTGCAGTTCCGGGACGTCTTCCCTAGTAGCATTATCGCTCCACAACCAGGCTGAGGCGACCCCGGGGATGATTTCCGTGTGACGAGCCCCGGGGCCTTTGCTCGCTGTTCACCGCCTCCTATACCTGTTATTTTGTCTTTTTGGGCAACCTTGTGGATTAAACTCGTCTACTGCAGCCAATGCGATAACATGGAAGTCAACTGACCGTATTTCAGGTTGCTGATGTTTTGTGTGCATAAGCCAGCATTGAAACAAAAACCAAGAAGATGATGTGGTCGTGGCATGGCCATCGGAGAGAACTTTTTGACGACGGAGCACTCAAAACATGCACCTAGCCACAGCGGAAATACCGGGGTGCAGTAGCAAGCCGTACAACACCCCTAGCGTTTGGTTCTGTTTTCTGCCTATGTTTTGGGTTTGCGGTTCCAGCTCCATTCGCACCCAACAATTAAGCTCGAACCCAACCGTCAGTCCATGGCGCTTGCTCGGGACACATCCCCGTGGGCTGTGGAATGAGCCCTTGCAAACCTGACGAGAGACTCTGATACCCCTGCAGATGTACTTGATGGGTACTTTCGCCTGGTCGCTCAGGGCTCACCCCGTCTCCGTCTCCCTGGGACCCAGCCCCTGCAGGCCCAAGCCCAAAGTCCAGTCCGCCCTGTCTACTGTCAAACTAGGATGACTGAGGTGTGTGTCGCCCTGGGCTGGAGCCCCACTGCCCATGTCATGCCCAAGAACTGGCCGTTCGCTGCATCGCAGCGCACTTGCTGAGTGTACCTAGTGTCGGACACGACAGGAGATTTGCCCTTTGGCGCTCATGTCACCGCTGGTTCCAAGCTTGTGGTCTAGGTAGGGGAGAACCCCCCCAGGCAAGGTAAGGTCTAGTAAGTAATTAATCCTATTCTATTTACTCCAAGATGATCATTGTGACAAGTACATGTACCCCAGTCCTGGTCTGCGAGGGGTGTAACTACTCCCACTCCATAGCTGCTTCTTATAAGTTAATACGCCCCATCTTGGGTCCTTCTTCTTTCCTTCCGTGAACCTTCTATAACCCTTTAATTAGTCTCCCTTCTCCCTCCGCCACCTTGGTTCTTATTCAGTGTTCTCTCTCAACTTACTTATCAACTCATCTCTTCACTGAATCACACACTCGGCTTCAGGTTGTTTCTTCTACTTACATACAACCATCATCCACAACTCACTCGACGACAACCTCTTAACGAAGCCACTTGTCTCATGCTATTGGACAATACGACACGAACCAACTGAATTGGCGAACAAGTTTAAGATATCCGACAAGGACGACGATATTTCACCAACACGTACCCATTGAACCAAAAGAAAGCTCTTAGGAGGATCACAAACAGCAAACATGGCGAGAAGTCGTCAAATGACCGCGGCCAACCGCGATACCAGCCGCAATGAGCGAGAGCTCCCTCCATTCCCCGCAAAGCAGATGTTTGTTCTAGGTATGAGGTTCAGCCTACATGATTTTCGCGAATTGGGTCTAACAATTGGCAGCCTGCTGCAGAATATGCGAACCGATTGCATTCATGTCCATCTTCCCCTACATTTACTACATGATCCAGGACTTCAACATCACAGATGACACCAACAAGATTTCAGTATACGCCGGCATGGTCACTTCTGCATTTACTTTGGCCGAATTCTCTACTGGTGTTCTCTGGGGACGACTGAGCGACAAGATTGGCCGAAAGCCTGTCCTTCTCTTTGGTCTGCTTGGAACTGCTTTGAGTGTTTTGGTCTTTGGTTTTGCGCCTAGCCTTCCCGTTGCTCTCTTTGCGCGCGCTCTGGGTGGTCTCCTCAATGGTAACATTGGAGTTCTCCAGACTACCGTTGCTGAGCTTGTTACTGTTAAGGAACATCAGCCACGTGCTTATACTATCATGCCTATGGTTTGGTGCATTGGGTAAGCGAACACGATTTCTGCAGCCATTGAGAGCGATTGCTGATTGAATTACCTTTTAGATCTATCGTTGGACCTATGATTGGAGGAGCTCTCGCCCGACCATGCATTAGCTACCCCGAGATCTTCGCCCGTGGAACCATCTGGGACCGATACCCTTACCTCCTTCCTAACCTCTTCAGCGCATGCACTGTTTTCTTTGGAGTCATCATTGGACTTTTGTTCCTTGACGAGACCCACGCCGAGAAGAAGCAGCAGAGGGATCGTGGACGAGAGATTGGAGATTACGTTGCCAGCTGGTTCGGTGGTGTCAGCAAGTGCAACGGACGAGGACGCTCTCCCGAGAAGCAGGCTCTTCTTGATGGAAAGCACCACGTTCAGTACCTTTCCACCGGCGCTCGCCCTGGCTCTGCTCACTCCGACGACGAGGCTCTTCCTGCTTACCGTAGCCAGGAGAGCTCTCCCCGACTTTCTCCTCAGGCCGACACACGATCTCTGGTTGACGCCCCATTGGAGCCTGTCCTGGAGCGCAAGCCCACCAAGCCCAAGACTTTCACCAAGCCTGTTATCATGAACATCATTTCTTACGGCATTCTCGCATTGTAAGTTTCAATCATCTTCAAAACAGTGACCCATCTCTAACACAGTTTACAGCCACACTATGACTTTCGACCAGCTTTTCCCCGTCTTCCTGAGCACCAAGCGACCCGAGCACCCCGTTCACGACCTTCCCTTCAAGTTCACCGACGGATTCGGCCTCGAGACCAAGATGATCGGTGTCATCATGTCCGTTCAGGGACTGTACTCTCTCTTCTCCAACTACCTTATCGTCCCTCCTGTCACCCGACGACTTGGTTCTCTCCGACTCTTCCGAATGCTCGCTTTCTCTTACTTTGCGCTCTACCTGGTCACCCCCTACCTGGTACTTCTTCCCGACTCCATGAGAATGCCAGCTATTTACCTCCTGGTTATCTGGAAGTGCACCTTCTCCACCATGGCTTACCCCAGCAACGCCATCCTGCTCGCCAACTCGGCCCCCTCTAAGCAGGTTCTCGGCACTATCAACGGCATTGCGGCTTCAACTGCGAGCTTGTGCCGTGCTCTGGGCCCTACCCTATCTGGACTCCTCTACTCTTGGGGTCTCCAGACTGGCTACTCTGGACTGGCTTGGTGGTTCAGCGGACTGATCACTATTGTTGGAGCTTACCTCAGTTCTCAGATCACTGAGGGTGGTCCTCAGGAAGACACCGTGCTGCCCGAGGAGGACCCCCTCCTGGACGACAGCCTCTACGCCGACTACGACGAGGAGGAGAGCGTTTAAAGGAACAACAACAACAACAAAACAGCAGCAACTTGCGACTCGAATTTTTTTCACCTGGAGTTTAAATGTTTCGAACAAAGCGAAGAATCGGAACAAAAATCTGGCGTCATTGCTTTCAGGGACGGATTGTACAAAGGGCACGCAAGGCCCAGGTCGACTTATACCCCCCATTTTTTCCAACACAGCGACGAGGCATGGAACAGGCGTTTTTATTTCCACAAGACGAAAAAGACGGGATGAATTGGGCTCTCTTTTTTTTCACGACATATAGACTATGGATTCATTCAAGGACGGATTCAACGACAAGTAGAAGGACATTTTTGGGTTTGGTTTTTGGGACAACATTTTTTGTAATGGAACTGCTATACGGCTGATGACACCATCACCCATGCGGTATCGTCAACAACGCGGCCCTGGAGGTTTAGAAGGCGTTTATTGGTATGGGATTGAGCTGGTGGCATCGAATGTGTCGATAGTGTTTGTTTTCAGGTTTTCAGGCTTTCAAGAGTGCGATTTTCTCAGTTCTGGCTACCTCGCGGGGCCAAACTGGCGGTGTAAGAAAGGATAGGACAGGAAAGGATAGGATAGTTTCACTGGCAGTAGTTTCAAGACTGCCATCTCATTGAACAAGATTTTATGCACAACATTTTTACTCTCATTCTCGAAGTGACCTACCTTAAATCGTGATGCTTGAAGTGGATGCAAGGGGGACATGGCTCTAAGCGGTCAAAACGTATATTACCGGCGGTCAAAGAGAGAGACGGGCGTGGTATTATTGAATTGAGATAGAGACATGTTTATTAAAGTATTGAAGCTTTGCATAGATGTTAGACATGTTATAGTCTGGTTTAGTCTAGACCTCGTACTGCGACCCATTCAGTCGGTAACCCAAATAGACACCGAGACGCCAAAGTCAGAAGCAAGAGAACAAGACCCTTAGCTGCTGCAAGACAGACCCTACATACCCTCTTAAAGAATTGAATACTAAGTATATACAGAGCTATCCCGGCACTTGTAATCATCAGATCATACATAGAGGGGGACTGTGGCTAAGGCTGTTGGTTTCTTGGAGGTTATCGTGACATGGTATCGATACGACGGATTAGACGTTCTGCGATTCGTGCGCTCTAATGGATGCTCATTCTGATGTCTTGGAGGACGAATTGACTTGATGGGTGGTATGGAGAGAAAGAAGAGGGACCCTTGTTATGCGAGGAAGAGGTCTGTACACCTTTTCGAATATTGGGAATTGATGCAGTCAACCGCCGGCTTACATCCGAGCCTGTTGAAGATTTGGTATGGGTATATGGATAGGTGAACTATTGTCGAGCTGTACAAGGTTAAAGTGTACGAACGATGCCTTACAGAGAGAGGCCAGCTACGTTGACCACAAAGACTCTAACGGTTGACCCATAGACTTGAATACAACGACCGGCAAGTCCCATCCTTTCTCATGCAAGATATCAGTCATTAATGCTGTGCCGTGCTGTCATGCTGTCAAAGCCCACTCATCCAATTCCCGAATGGGGTAGTAAACGGCGAGAGGGTATGACAAGGAACTGAACCGGTTGATAGCCGGACGAGTAGACAGAGAATTGGTGGATATAATCTTTGTGTTTAAAGAAGAGGAAGAGGAAGAGTAAGTTATTTGATATGCCAAATATATGTTTTGCTATTCATCATGAACTTGAGTTTGAGGTCTTTGGACCAATCAATATTTAGAGTTCGTTAATCAACAAAGAATTCAGGGCGTTTTCCCCCACTCGCTCGCTTGAAGAGTTCAAGTCCAACCAGTCAATCTCAAGTTGTTGAAGGTTGGTATGGCATATGACAGGTCTCTTGTCTTGTCTTGTCTGACACTCTTTTTCTTTGTCAGAGACTTCCAGAGAGTCATTACTCTTCTCTTCGAATATTCTGTATCTGTGTCTGTATCTACAACTAAGGATTTTCATGCGTACAGTATAGGACCATCCCTGTCTTAATTCATGTCAACTTTTCTCAGTCATAGACCCTTGTTTGTATCCATCGTCCATGAAACAAATGCATCGTCAAAGACAGAGAAAAGAACGGCCATCAACCACCGTCACTCCACTTGGAAGGTGCAGTTCATTGTTTAGTGCCTCAATTAAGAGGCTACTCGCCTAATCTAGACCCTGGATTGGTCGTTCTTTCCCCGTATAGTTTTTTGAGACAGCTGATTGTTCTTGATCGTACCTACCTAAAAGATAGTGGCTACAGGTACTCCGAATCCCCACAGACATTCGGATAGTAAAATAGTACATACTACAGTAAACAGAATTATTTGTATTAATTGATTGCCCGTATCTATCATTTGTTATCAATTGTTTGGCTCTCCCCACGCTTTGACAGCTCCTTCCTACGTTAGCGGCTGCCTCGGCTCCGTCGATCCTTTCCCGCCTTATTCTTTTCGGTTGCCTTCTTGTCTCATTTCCATCCACATCCTCCAAATCATCCCGCCTTCTCACTCAGCCTCCTCCTCGTACTGTACTCTGTACCTTTGTACTTTTGCTTACAGTGCTCTTTTTATTCTCCGTTAATTGTTAGTTCCGGACCGGATTACTCAATCTACCGATCCCGCCTACCGACCCCCCGTCTCCCGTTCCGCCCAAGCTTCAAGCTCAGCTCCAAATCCACTCTTCAACCAACCATCTTCAATCAATTCTCAAACAACATCTCTCGACCGACGCTGCTTTTTCGATTGAACCTTGTGACGTTTCGCTTGCGCTTCCGCACCCCCGCCTCCGATCTTAATCTCGTCGCAAAACACTATCGGCGCCACCACCGGTTGCCCGCCAGGCCGTTACAATGCCTGCGCGTGGCCCTCCGTCTCCGAGCTCGCAACCCGCAAAGCGACAGCGACAGGACTCTTTTGACGATGGATCGCCGCGCAACGGCCAGCCGAGCCCTCATGACCGTGACCGTGAACGTCTCCAGGCCGACGGCGCCTCCGCTTCCGCCTCTTCCACCACTGCCTCCCCATCAGTAGCGGCCAAGCCAGGCCAGAGCAGTAACTTTCGCAACGTCAGTGCTTGTAACCGTTGTCGCCTACGTAAGAATCGTTGCGACCAGAAGCTTCCGAGCTGCGCAAGTTGCGCCAAGGCAGGAGTCGCTTGTGTTGGCTATGATCCTATCACAAAGAAAGAGATACCACGAAGGTACGATAAGAACGCTGCGTTGCGGTGGCGCGCGACAATTTTGCGTGCTGCGTTGTACTGCGCTTACCAGTCATTTTGAGTCGCGCGCTACAAAATTGCGACTGCAAGAATGAGTGAATGAATGCTGACATCGCGCAGTTATGTTTTCTACCTTGAAACTCGAGTAGAACAGCTCGAGAATCTACTCAATGCCAACAACATCGCCTTTCCCCCAGCCGAGAATCTCGAATTGTGTTCTAGGATAGGCAATGACACCGCTAGCATCAACTCAGCTACCGAAACAGGGTATTCTGGACCATCAGAAGCAGGCGACCGCGGCGCAGGGAGACCCCAGAGTCAGGCAGTTGAATCGCTCAAGAAGAAGTCTGGCCAACAGGGTTTCCTCAACATCGTTAGTCCGTCAAAACCTCGTTCTCTCGCGTCTGCATCTGGTGTGTCGTTTGCGCGAGTTGTGTATGCTGCAGTTCAATATTCGGCTGCTGGACAACCGAACTCGAATGATTCCAGAGCTCCTAGACAACCGAGCGGAAATGGAGCTTCTCTGCGCGATTCCTTCTTTGGTCTACATACAAGACCTTCCATTAAGCCTGCTACTTTCCCCAGCAAGGAAGTCGGCTTGCGGCTCGTGAGATTATATTTTGAGCATTCTAATCCTCAGATTCCTATTCTGCATAGAGGAGAGTTCATGCAGACGTTTGAGCGTATATATGCGACTCAGGATCCAGCTCGAGGTTCGCGAGAACTGTATTTGTTGAACATGGTATTCGCTATCGGCTGTGGTGTCATTGTGGGCGAGCCAGTGAAAACAGAATCATCTGGTGGTGATGTGGATAATAGGAGTCGTTGTGAGCCTGAAGAATACCATGCGAGCGCTATTGTACACTTGGAGTCGTGTTTGAGCAATAGCGGAGGAGGTCTGGAGGTGTTGCAAGCTGTGCTTCTCCTCGCCAATTTTGCTCTTCTTCGCCCTGTTCCTCCCGGTCTTTGGTATGTTCTGATTTATCGTACGTGGTACCTATGGAGCTCACCTGACTAACACGGACCAGGTACATTATCGGTGTCGCCGTGCGACTCGCAGTCGATCTCGGTTTGCACTATGAGGATGATAGAGAAATCGATGCTGGACCTAACGACGCCGAACAGACCGATGGTGCTCGGGAGAATAGCGTCCAGAATCGTGGAAAGAAGTTGTGGATTCGAGATATGCGACGACGGCTCTGGTGGTGCACGTACTCCCTGGATCGACTGGTGAGCACATGCGTTGGAAGACCATTCGGCGTTAGCGATCAGGTCATCACGACCGAGTTTCCCTCACTGTTAGACGACGAGTATATCACACCGACCGGGCTGCAGGATCCACCGTCAGATCAGATTCAACCCAGCTACAAACATGTAGCCCATCATTACTTCCGCCTGCGGCTGCTGCAGTCAGAGATTCTCCAAGTATTGCAGTATAATCAGGCTCAAATCGCCAAGGCTGGTGTACAGGGCAAGTATCCCGATATGCACATTCATTTGCCTTCGCCATTCTTGGTGCAGTTCGATTCGTTCCGGTCGTGGCGCATAGATATAGATCGAAGGTTGTATCAATGGAAGACGTCGGCGCCATCAAAGCAGGAGACTGGTGTCATGTTCTCGACCGAATTCTTGGAGCTCAACTACTGGCAGGCTATCATCATGCTCTATCGCCAGAGCCTCAGCGTCCCCGCCATGTTCGAGGGCGAGTACAATTCATCAAACGAAGTCAACAGTCCAACAGCGTTCCAAGCAGAGCTTCGAGAAGATGAGGACCGTATCTATCTTAAGGTCGCTGAGGCAGGCCAAAAGATCCTTCGTTTATACAGACAGCTTCACCTCAGCGGGCTCGTGAGCTATACATATCTTTCCACACACCACCTGTTCATGGCGGGAATCTCGTACCTTTATGCTATATGGCATTCACCCATCGTACGAAGTCGCCTGGTAAGTTTTAACGAAATAAGACAACTCGGGGAAATATACTAATAGTGGATCCAGAGCATGGATGAAGTGGACTTTACTATTCTCGCCGCCAAATCGGTTCTCACAGATATGATCGACAAGTGTCCGCCCGCCGAGACATGCCGAGATGCATTTGATCGAACGGCTAAGGCCACCATTAAGATGGCCTCTTCAACAGGCGGTTTTGGTGCCCCAGCGGCCCGAAGACAGCGCTCTGCGTGGAACACACCACCTGACTCGTCCAAGACCTCTACACAAGTACGTCATCGCAATCAAGGCTCAGATCAGGCGTCTTATCCAATCGACCTATCTCTGTCCGACTCCCTTTCTCCCAGCGTGTCGGTTAGCGGTGACGGCAATGCCCAGCCATCGCCACCAATGGCACGTTCGGCCGAAGGATACTTGATGCAGTCACGATCTCGAGGAGGACCAAGTCCTTCAGATTCTGGTCTTAAACAAGAAGGCTCTCCCGTAGAGTCAGGTATGGTCCCTTCACCTCTTCCCCGAAGAGTCACATCTCAGCCATCCAACGGATCGTTTGGAGGACAACAACAATTCAATGGGCAGGATTACCCGGATGCGCAGACAATGGAGTTCCTCCAAAACCTAGGAGCGTCCTCAAACGGCGATTTTACCGCCATGGATCAGTCGCAGCTTGATATGGGACTCAGCATGAACTGGGAAGGTCTTCATCACGACTTTGGTGAAGCACCGCAACTGAACCCCTTTGATACCTTTTTCTTCGGCGGACCACAAGGAGGTGGTAACCAAGACGGTGGCATGAACATGTAAGAGAAATTTTGTTGGGATTATTTCTGTCTTTATTGCCGGCGTGATATGCACACAGACGCAAGTCTAGGTGGTACTTTTGATGGCATCTGATCTAGCTGTTTGTATCAGAAGCCTTTCTGTTGGTGAAAAGTAGATGTTGATGAGAAAATCAAGAGCTGGGAACGTTGGTTCATATCATGGCGAGGTATAAAGTCGATTTGAAGAGATGAGTATATATCATGAATGAACATATCGGATTCTATGATGCAGAACTAGTTCTATAGCAGGAACTGCAAACATATGATATGGCAATAACTGTGATTCAGTGACATTGACGTACATGGTATGGAATGCTGTGATCCAGTGATTCACCACAGTGACGCATGGCAGATAGCATGACATAGCAGATAGCATAGCATGGCAGATAGTTCCTAAGTCAACCTGGGCTCTGATTGAGTTCGTTTATAAGTTCGATTTAGGGTATCAAAATAAAGTAGCCTAAGTTCCGGTCTAAACTGGCATAAAGTGACCAAATTGTTTCGTCTCTTATGCTTTCGGCAGCTGCCTCTTCTGACACCCTAGACCAATCGTGTGTCGTGTGCTCCTTCCTAGGTACATGAGGCTCTCGGCATTCATACAGCGGCATCTGTGGTTTATGGATATACCTTCTGCAATTCACATCTACTCCTGCACTCCTGCACACTTGCACCAACATCAAAGGTTTCTACGGTACCTAACCTTCCAATTGACTTTGTTGTTACTTCGTCCCCTTCCTTCCTTAACTTATTTTCTTATTGCTTCTGTCAATAGAAGTGCCTACGTATCCTTTTGCATCCTCTCTCCCTCAACCCTCTCCTTCAACTCTCGAGCTCTTTCACATTCCACTCAACGTACATTTTCCGAAAAGTCACCACAACTATCACAACAAATAAGCGATGAGATACACGAAAGAGCTGACGAGTTCCTGATCTCACCTCATCTCGATGAGTAGCCAGGATTGATTATTGATGCTCGCCCTGACTTTCACTGGCCGCCTGAACAATCTCAAACACGAGCGCAGATCGAGAACAGGTGTTAATATGCCTCACAAATTCAGGCAAAAATACGGACAATTAAGGAACAAGAGCACTTTGCGTTACAAGCTATACACGCTTCTATTCTCTTAAGAGTATTAGACGAGAATTTCGATCCCAACGGTTGGTTAGACCCATATCCTGGGGTAAGGCACATTTCGGCCTACAACCAGTCTCTGTTTATTAAAAGTCTGATGGCTTTTTTTATGTCGACTTTATATTCAAATGGTTGTATCAGCGGTGGAAGAAACCTGCTGACCTTATGACGGTTGATGGCCCGGACTTTGACTTTATTAAGTTGGGACAGGCCTTTGTTGATCATCAAACACAACCTCGACCGCGCCCTGAGACTGAAGATGGTGCTCCTCTTTTATCCCGGCATCGGTATACAATTGGTTCTTTTCCAAGCTTCGACGATGCAGTCTGTTTCCGTGAGATGTTGGAGATACAGTGGCAGCTTCTCCTTGTTGCATTGATGGCTGGGGCAGCTGAACACCTGGACTTGCTACCTGGTGATGATTTTGTTATCTGGGATAATTTGGCTTTTGAAGGACTTGTCGGTTTTGAAATTCCTTTCGGAGAACAAGTACCACAAGCACCACAAGCACCCAGATATCCTAACCTTGCTGGGGTTATTGATTGGACAATAACTGGTGATAGAGGGTATCTTGACGATAAACCTTATCGGTCTCCAGAGCCTTTTTCAATTGCAGTAACCCGATTGAACAATTGGGTTATACCTTGGCTGCGGCGAGATTCAACAACTTCAAGAGCAGCTCAAGTTGAGAATCATCTAGAGGGACGAATGCTATCTAGCCACGCACTGCAGTCCCTAATACGACCTCCTCAGATTAACTAAGGATAAACTGAGAGTTAGTTACAAACTGTTGATGAGGAATACTTGGATGTTCTAGATAACAAAGAATAGGTTTATACAATAGCTATGGGTAATACTATAATATTAGCTGTAATACTGTAATGCTATCTGCCATGCTATCTGCCATGTTATGCCTGCAACTCATAAACGAATATCCTCCTTCTAAAGGTCAGCTTCTATCCGTACTCTGATGTAATTTATTCTTGCAGATTCTAAGTCTTGCCTCGATGTTTCAAGCGACTGGATGTCAAGATGCTTGTAGCCAGTAGGAAGACGACGCTTCCGTTATCCGTACCTTCAGGCAAAAGTACAACCTCACGCCTTGAACAACTGCCTAATAGAGTAGGCGCTGATAAGTCAAGCCTAGCGGTGCCTACAGATTAAGCTTAATTGGCAGGGGTTGTACTGTCTACATACTTTAATTCGTCAGGGTCTTGGTTGTTGGCTGTGCATCCATGGATGTTTAATACTCATGTTGGTTGTTGGCTTATTGACCCATGCCATGCGAACTGAGCATGCCCCAGGGCAAGGTCTACAACGTGGTTGTAAGGGAGTTCTGCTCTGTTAAAAGTCAATCCATCCCTCCCGCAGTATTCTCTGCTTCAAGTTTCATCGTCTTGGAATGCCATTTCTGTTCTGCTTTGACAGCTTGTTTTTGCAGTAGGTAGGTGCTTTCCGGCCAAGACTCACAGCGTAGATTCAGATAACTAATTATCCATCCCAGTAGCCATTCCCATAGCATACTCAAAGGCAGTACGTGCTGTGTGCTGTGTGCTGAGCTCAGGACAACCGAGTGTTAGTCACGTCCAAAACTCACTCTCACGCAACGAGCCCGGTCATTAGGCTCGGGTCAATGCGAATTCCAGAGAGCTTGAAATACATTAACTTTGATTAACTTTTGAGAGAATGCTGACAAGAGCCCGAGGCCCAGTCATCATGAAGAGGGATGGGGACCCGGGAGAAAACAACGGAATATCCTATTGGGAAAATATTGGCTTTAGGTTTATGGTAATCGGAGTTCCTATTATCTCCATCTTTCTTATCGGCTTATGCATCTGGTGCTGCTACAGAAGTCACAAGAAATATGAGAGGATCGGAAGAGCTCGACGCGCTGCTATGGCTATGGAAACACTCCCTCGCACGGCGGACAGCGGAGATTCGAGGACACTTGTCGGCTGAAAGATATGCATCTCTGGTTCAATCATTTTGTATTTGAATTTATATGTAACTGCAAGGTCAGATAACAGACAGGGGTAATAATAGAATTCTCAGAGCTATACAGACAGCCTTCCGTGGCTTCATCAGCCTGCTTTTGCTTTTGAACATGCTGCAAGTCAGGCCGTGTTCTTTTGCTGTGCAACGTTCGGGAAACTCGCCTTGTTACGGACCCAACTTCCAGCCAAAGTTGCCGCTATCTCTAATGTCCAAAGAGGCAAGCCGGCCGGCAGACTATGTAAGATGCGGTTTTCGAATGATGATGCACTCGCAATATAGATAGCCTTTTCTCTGATGACGCGACCTGCTCTGTCTGTTATCCACCAAGCTTTGGCCCTTTTTTGAATCCAAGGCAAGATCAAGATTGCCGGGCTTTGTGTTTGAAGGACAGAGGCTTAAGTAGATAGTGTAGTAAGTTATGGTTTGGTGTATGAAGAAGATGCAAGTCACTACCGCCCATTGCTCTCTGGCCCTTGGCTGTGCGACGAGAGCAAAACACTTAACTTCCCATTAATATCTAGGTAGGTATTTACTTTAATACTTACTGCAATGCTTACTGTGCTATTACTTCCAGGTTACTGTCATAGTATCCATATAAAAAGATAACCTAGGTACCTATTTTAACACTTGTATTGATACTAGTGTAAAGAAAGACTCATTTCATAAGACTCCAATTCCAAATGTACATATTTCAGATATCTTTCGTTGTAGTACTTCTGTACCTAACTTGTTCTGAATCACAGTGGAATCTTGTCTCCTGCATTACTCGGTCGGTGGATATATAGTAGCTTCCACCATATTAAAGTGGATAAATGACCGACCAGGACCGTTCCCGGCCGCCATTTAGCCCGTTGACTGACCAGTCCCGGAAACGTCATTTGGACATTACATCCTACCGAATTCAATCCACATCAGCAATCAATCTTCCAACACTTCGCCGTTCAACATTTTTTTCTTTTCTATTACGACTTTCAGAGCAGACACGGTCGATCAATTCAACAATCCTGACAATCCGTTACTGCGTCTCGCGTGTCTTTGTTACCGCTCATATCGCCTCAATCACCCGCTAGCGACGCATAGCTCCCGAGCTTGACGATATCGATATCATCACCGCGGTTAAAACGCTACGCATCGATAAATAAACCATACAGCCGCCCAGCTCCTTCCTGCATTGTCGCTCCCTTTGAGGAGCGGCGGGGATCATCATGGCGGTAGAAGAGGGCGAGTATGTAACAATGTCAACTCCAAAGCAAAGCGCACCATGAGCTAGCTTATCAATCATGACTATGACCATTTGTTGATCCTCACTGACATCACCCAGTCTCTACCCGACCGAGGCCCTCGTTTCGAAACAGTCTCGGAAACATTATCGTATACCAGTGCGATCACAGTACGTCATTATGCATCCTGCCGCGGCGCCGTCAAGGGCAAACATCTAACAATCTCAGACATTGGCAGCTGCGCTCTCTAATTAGCGCCGAAAAGCAAAACATCGTCTACTTCCCAGGGGGCAACGGTAGCAACCATGTCCAACGACTGAATGTATCGACCCGAGAATGCGAAACCATCAAACTCCTCACTTTTGCGCCGCGATGTCTTGTTGCCGAGAATGGATGGTTATGCTGTGGTAGTGAAGGTGGCGACTTCGTGGCGATGCGGCTCGATGAAGGAAACGACGATACCGACTCCCCACCCGGACTAGATCCAGAAACTCGACTGAGCCTTGGACTCGACTCCCGTGAAGATTCTATATTCTCCCTCATATCACGCGCCAGACGATCCAATAAGAGTCTGATTGCCAAAAGCATGAAATTGGCCAAAGACCGGGTAAACTGCATCACGCTCTGGTTCCCCCCGACAACGATGCCGGCGAATGAAAAGGCCTACAGGGAACCAGTAGCAATACTGGCCAACAACGACCGGACTGTCACTGTAGTCAGTCTAAATGACTTTGATCAGAAAGAAAAGACCGAACCGTTAGATGTCATCACATACCCCGACTTCGTGAACCGGTCTCTCCTATCTCCCGATGGCCGGTTTCTAATTTCCATTCTTGACGATCCGTATCTATACATCCACGAGCGTGTAAAGAAGACTACCGAATCACCAGCAAACAAGTCACAGGACGAGCCTGCATATCAATGGGAGCAGACGCAACGAATTTTACTTAAAAGTCAAAGCAAGGACGATAGAACCGACAGCAGAGGCAGCTTCGCGGCATGTTTCTCGTCATCTGGAGCATACCTCGCTATTGGAACACAGCATGGCACAATCTCTATTTTCAACGCCGGTCTTCTTTCAAACCCCGATGCCGACCCCCTTATCACAACATTTGAGTCTTCCAGGCCACGTAGTGGCCCTGGTGCTATTCGCGATATGTCCTTTTGCCCCGGACCATACGACTTGCTAGCCTGGACCGAGGATCGAAGACATGTCGGAATTGCAGATATGCGAAGCAACTTTGTCGTTCGCCAAATCGTCGACATTGAGGAGCCAATATTTGAGCACATCAACATACTTGATCGAAACACGATTGACCCACGACTATTGGAGAACCGTCGTGAAAGGAGAGGCAACGCCGTAGGTTCTGGAGCCGCAAACAGTTACCGACATCGAGATGCGCTCGAACATCTCAACACCCCTCTTACTGCTAGTGAGACGCTGGTACTTGAAGCCATGCAGATGGAGCGACCCAGTCGTGAGAGATTGTCTCAGCGGACCTCAGCAGCAGAAGATAGGACGTTAGGTGCTGCGGCTGATTTTAGGGCCTGGCGCCGTAACACTGCTGCCGTTGCTGCTGCCATCGAAGCTGAGACTGAGGCTGATACTCGAGGAAATAGTGGCCTTGGCCGCGCTATGGGAGATATCATAGGCGGCAATTACAATAGAGTTCGTACTCGTGATGGTTCACTCGCCTCACGGCCCTCGGGTCTTGCCCCGGGCGAGAGACTTGGAGACCTAGCAAGACGTCAACGTCAGCAGGAGAGCCTTGAAGGAACTGTGGCAATGTTTAGGTCACGCCAGCGCCAAGACGCGTCATACCTGCAAGTGCTCGATATCCTTCAGGCACGAGAGCGAGATGATCGCGACCCAGATGACACTACAATCATAGTGCCGCTTGTCAATTCAGTTGCGAACAGATGGGAGGAAGATCATGGCGTATTTGAGGTGCCGCCTTCACCAGATAATACCGCGGGACTGGCTTGGAGTGAAGATGGTCGCACTATGTAAGTGGTTGCGTCAAGGTCTGCTGAACTATGCTAATATCTTTCAGATTTGTCGGTGCACAGAACGGCATATACGAGCTTCACGTCGACGTGCAAAGCAGGAAATTCTGCCCCAGCATCTCGTTGAGGTGAAGATGAGAAATTGGAACTTGACTAAACCTGTCTTTTGAAGAGGACAGGATTCTGACAATGGCTTTGGGATTGCTACCTTGCTTGATACCAAAATGATGACCAATAATGATGGTTGCTTATGCATCGGCACATGTTACCTGGAGTACGTTGGACCTTTATGGCGTTTTCGATTCTTCAATTCGACTGCTTTCCCCTTCTTGCCTTATAAATTTGGCACTCTTTTCGAATAAAATTCTGGGGCAGTCGAACAATAGCGGTTAATTAGTGAATATATTTGATTGATGCTTCAAACTGTCTTTGTCGAACCGTACAGTAGATCCTGCACCATCTCAGCAATGGCCAAGGAACTTGTTAGTCCAGGACTCTCAATGCCCAATAGATTTACCCATCCTTCGTATCCTTCTTCTTTTCGAATGATGAAGTCCTGGAACCCCTTGCCCTGGCGCACAGCTTCTGGACCAGCGAGTTTAGGCCGGATACCAGCGTAGTCAGCTACCAAGGCCGAATCATCAATACCCGGTAGATATCGCTTGATCTCATTGATAGCTTGTGGTAGTCGTTCCGCGTTCACGGCCAGGTTACTAGGATCATCAATCCACTCAACATCAGGACCGAACCGTAGCCGTCCTGCAAGGTCAAGTGTAAGATGGGTACCCAAACCTGCGATACCAGGCTCAGGCACAGGGTAGATGAGCCGTGAGATCTTTGGCTGAGACGCCGAGTACGAAAAGTAGTTTCCCTTGGCATAGTATAACTTCTGACGCTTCTCAGATGGCACAATCATGTTGTGAACGACCGCTGCTCCAAGACCTGCAGCATTAATGAGCGTCTCGGTCGTGATACTCGACGTCTCACCGGTAGCAGCATCCTTGACTTCAATCTCCCACCCTTCACTCCCAGGCTTGGACCCAAGGGGAGTAATGTTCAACACAGGCGAATTCAGCGCCGCAACACCGCCAGCATCTTCAAAGAGGCCCTGGAGACACAGCATTAAGCCGTGCGAGTCTACGATGCCAGTTGTCGGACTCTCGAGCGCACACGCAGCACTCACACCTTCACCGTCCCGCTTGACCTCTTCACCGCTAACCCATCGCGTCGGAACACCGAGGTCGTTCTTGCACAGGTTGTGAAGCTTTGCGAGGGTATCCTGCTGGACGTCGTTCTGGGCGACGATCCATTTGCCAGTGCCGCGATGGCCGATGTCGTGCTTCTCGCAGAGCTCGTAGAGGAGGTTCTTTCCGCGGATGCAGAGTTTTGTTTTCAGGCTTGAGGGCCCGTAGTAGATTCCTGCGTGGATGACTTCGCTGTTGCGGGAGCTTGTTTCTGTGCCTATGGCGTCGTGGCGCTCTATGAGGACGGTTGAGGTGTTGTCTCTTTGGGCCAGTTGGCGGGCTACCGCGAGGCCGACGACACCGCCTCCTATGACCTGTTACAAGGTTAATGCCTGGTCTATGTTCGCTTTGGTGTACATCGTGGCGAGCAATGGAGTTTGTCCTCCGTTCGAAACCTCGTGATCCAGGTGCGGGATCTATCGGAGGACTTGGAGGCGACTTACAGCATGGGTGAAATCGGCATTGACAGCTGCCGTTGTGCTAAAGCTGTATTTGTGATTTTTGAGAAGGCTAGGAGACAATTTCCGTGTCACTGAGCGAAACATGATGGTTGTTGTTGATAGACTAATGAAGCTGTCAAGGATCGCCTTCGGCGAAGAGGACATCTATACCGAGCGTCTAATGACGCAACACTAATAGGCGATATTCATCATATGCCGATATACAATGATAGACGACTACAGAATAAGTTGTCATATCAGACCTGCATTGGTTTGTATTTATCTATGATTCCATTTTAATCGTTCGGGGGAATAACCGTTCATCGTGAGTTTCCATACCCTAAAGCTATCTTTTCAGATGCCGAATAACCACATCGTACCATATTCAGTTACGCGACTATCTCATTCTCTAAAGTACTGCCCGAACTCATCATAATCACATGTAGTATATAATATTCCAACGCCATATGCATTCCTGCCAATTATAATCATTGGCCAAGGCCGACTTCCAGACTCTGGGCCTTCAACGCTAAACGCCGTGTTAAAACTGAACCGTCCTCATGTACCGTTACGGAGTGAAAGGGAGAATAGATCCCTCAAGCTTCCTTGACCTCTTCAGTCGCAGGCTTGTCGTCCTCCTTGTCTGCCGCTGTAGAAGATCTCGTCAAGTGTGAGTGGTGGGGTGGCTCGTGAGCAACCGGCGAACCAGTTCCGACATCAGTCAGTTGCTTCTCTGTATCCTTGTTAGCTAGAAACAAAGCACCAAAATTTATCAGACTTACCTAGTTCTCGGACCCGATGACGAAGCATCTGGTTCTCTCGGACAAGCATCTGAGTCTCAGCCTGGTAAAACGCACTCTCATCCCGACCGCCCAGGACCCAGTCCTCGCTATTTCCACCTATGGACGTTGCGCGGAGTCTAGGAGATGCGCCGCTGCGACTCGGTGTTCGCGAGCGGCGCTGGAGGTCGGCGCGGGCAAGGTCGAAGGAGCTGCGGGGGTGACGATGGCTGTTGGAGCGAGAGCCTGAGCCACCGGTAGGAACAGGAGGGATCGAGACGTGGGAGGTGGATGCGTGAGGAGTCCCGTGGCCTGATCGTTCGGAGATGGCGCTGCTGTCTTCTACGGCGGAGCTTTGGTTTTGGTTATTGGGGTTGGCAGCTTGGAGGCGTTGGAGCTCTAGTTGTTGCTGTCGGATCATCACAAGGAGACGATTCTGTTAGGGAGTGGTTAGTTGTCTGTCATGGTCATGATAGTATGGTGTCTCGTACCACATGAGCTTCCTGCTCGGCCTCTAATTCCTGATGTAGTTCACCCAAACTAGGCGCTCTGTGATGATGAGGATCACCCATAAGAGGCGACCCAGAAATAGGCTGTGGACTGGCGACTGGAAGACCAGATCCAGATGTAGATTGTTCGTTGACCATCTCGCCTGGTGATGGCACGGCTGGGTCGTTGAGTTGCAAGTTCATTAGGACTGTTGATCGTCGTCGGCCGGTTTGGGAGAAGGAGCTAGAAGATCCTGAGAAATGTTAGAGCTTTGTTTGAGTGGGAAGGAGAATGTGCATACTTTGTGGTTGTTCGTGTTGGAGTCCAGCATTCATGGTAGCAGCAGCTTGTAGCGATATGGAAGCTGAGCGCGGGGATCTGGTGGGTGATTCGCTGCGGGGAATAGAGCTGTCGTTATCTGGTGGGGACGCCATGATGATAGTGGAGTGTAGTAGGTATGGTCTTCAAGATGGTAGGTATTTCTACAGGTATAACAACTTGTTTGTTTTAGATAGATTTACTTGTAGAAAGTAAGAGAAGAAATACAGTATAAGTAGAAGATAAAGAAATATGGTTTGCGAATAGGTACGTCAGAATCAAAGGACGTTGATCAGTGTGACGATTGATGATATAGTCAAGATTGTGGAGGGGTTATTGGAGATAAATTCATAGAACAATGAAATGTCCTGAAAGTCAACTAGGCTACAGCGAGCAATGAAAGGCATAAAGGCTATTTGACAGAAAGTGCCAGTGTGAATTTGTGATGCGGCGAAGCAGTTGAATATGGCCTGTTGTGTGCTGATCATGACCTCAAAACTAGGCTTTTAGGCTAGACAATAGTGATCACAGGGTACAATTTCTCCGCCATCTCTGTCACGCGGGGTCTTGCAATTGAATTTGACGAGATTTATAGTTGAGACTATCGTGAATACAAGAGTCTCGGAGATGAAGAATCGTGATACATGTCAAGTTATTCACGATAGCCATATGACCAAGATTCATGATTCGACTCTCAGAGATAGAAAAGTCTAGAACTCAAGTTACAGTCAGCAATGACTCGGAAGTGACATTCACGATGGTCTCAAGAATATTGCATGCACGGAGTGGCCGTTCATTGCAGCGATATAAATATGTGACGAACCATCACGTCTGAAACAAGAGTTTAGGATACAGTACATGACAGTGCTGTGTCATCTCAACATGATAATCACCTCTTGCATATTTCAAGCTACAGATATAGAGGAATCACAGACCAACGGCCTCTAAAGTACCTAGCCTGAATGTGCAGGGCTGAACGCTCAGGTCTTTAAGTTTACACTGAAACATGACGGCGCAGATAACAGCGCTATTGGGTAAGTAGCAAAAAAGAAAGAAACTCGTCGGGCGCACATGGCGGTAAAGATAGGAAACTGGTTTAAGAAGAAAGTTCAGGTAGATGTGAGAAGATACAGGGCATTATGCAAGACACTTGCATTCATCACCTTTGACGGGTTTCATCTCGCATGTATGAAATGCCATCCATACAAACTCTAACTAATTAACTAGAAACATGTGATCGGATGTTCATCCCACTTACCATCCCGTTCATCGTTTAGATTATTAAGTCTCGCCTCTATTGACTGTTCAAGCGTATAACTTAACTTTGTTAGACAATAGCGGTAAAGTCAAAGTCAAACTTGACAGGGTCCTCTATAATAGAAACTCCCCTGTAATTATCATCATCCAATGTGATGGGATCTAGAAATGACGTGGGGACCTTGTCCCATGCTATTGACAGCAAACTTAGCTTATTGATTGTCTGTTTGCTCAGAAAGTAAGACATTTTGGGCTTCTTCATCTCGCCTTGCTCAGCTCACCGGTATATTTCAAGTCTGATATTATAGGCGACGGTGTTAGTATGCGCAGATCGGCAAGGGATCCATGGATCTCACCTTCAAGGTGTCATTCCGCTTCTCATCGTCCTTGTTTTTTTTTCATAGCATAATTACCTAGCATAGCCCAGCCTGCCGGTACCGTTACGGCCAAGAGCCCTGGTCTGGGCCTAATGTTGGCTTCAACTACCGTACTATCCGGCACTAAATTGACGAGTCCCCTGTTATTTCAAGAACAGAGTTGTGGTTTATCTCACCGTAGAGATCGACCTCGGTTCGAGTTGACAATGGCTGACTATGCTATGAGACATGGCCTCATGTAAACTGGCTCGGCCCTCGTGAGAAGTGATATCTTTCTGTACGGGGTCGGCCCGTAGAAGCAAGGGATGAATTTATTGATACTGATGCTTCCTTCTTCTCCCTCTAAAGAACTAAATCTAATGCAGCTAAGCATCATTGGCTCAAGCTTGCGAAAAAGAAACCAGACAATATTGAGCTTAGTCGCTTCCACTACTGCAGGAACAGAGAGACTATGATGCTGATGCTGGAGAGGAAAAGCAAGAAAGAACCTGAACCTGAAAAACAAGATGCAGCAATTCCTGGTACCCAATTAATCCAATCCAATCCATCCAAGCTTCTTGCATGAAAGCTCTGGTGGAAATCATTGGTTAGCGCCTCGTGTAATCATTTCACTGCAGCTATTACTATTACTATTACAGGCATTTTCGATCGATGCGGACCCCATGTTCGGCTGCGGACGAGAACTGATGACGACTCCCTATGGGACTCTCTCTTTTTCTACTGTAACTGCTGACAAAACATTATGCACGTCGGGAAAAAGTAAAAAATAAAAATAAAAATAATCGTCCAGAAAAGCAAATTGACTGGCTGACTGCGGGCGGAACCGCAAGAGACAGACCCTGTTCTTGGCCAACTGTCTCTCTCACACCTTCTTCAAAGATCTTTGGCTCGCTCGTACAAAATTAGGGTTGGACGGGCGCTGAATTTGTACGACGTGATGGGATGGTCGGTGAAGAGGAAATTCGCTTAATGCGTTATTGTAATGGTTCAAGATTAATGACTTGCATTTTGGCGTTGATGTTTGAGTAACGGACTGCACCAACCATTCCTCACGTGCAAGATCAAGTAATCTGACTCGGAAACGCTCTTCATGATGATCTAATGTTCGCATTTACGGATATGTAATGGATGTAGTGTACTGTAGTCTGCAAGGGCGGATGTAAAAATTCTCTTCTCTGCTGAACAAGGATGTCTCGACCGAAACATCAACCATTAATAACCCAGCGATCCGTGCTCCTTCAGCTTGTCATAAACACTCGACCCTTGTATTTGGAGCAATTCTTCGGGCGTTTTGGCTTCAAGTGAGACAATGGTCTGGCAGCCATGGAGAGCCCGGGCCACTTGATCTGGAACAGCCGGACACCGAGGCCTTGACTCAGACTCGACTCGGAGTCTTCAGCACTTTATTTTATACCCTCGGTATTCTTGGCTGTCATTTTTCATTTGTTTTTAGATAATAAGAAGCAAAGAAAATCGATACATAGAAAATCGGTCAATTAATTGAACCCACAAGATCAGCATTGTGGGAATCATCGTGATCAGCTGCAGCTGCGGGTTGAGTCACCGTTTTCTACTGGAGCAGTTAAGAACCTCGGCGAGATGACGGGAGACGACGACGCAGTGGCTTACAGTCCCTACAATACAATATGTATGCAATAGCAAGGGTTGTTCAATTGAGAGCAGAAAAGTCACGAGGACTTGAGAAACAAGCACAACAAGGATAACATACGACAATTGCTCAATCAGACCTTCTCAAACTCTTACTTCAACCCTGACTGTCCATCCATCGTGGGTTGTTCCACTTCAAAGTCAGCGGCTTTTTAACCCCTTGTCTCCGGATGGAGCCTCTAAGCAAAACCCCAAATGCCAAGGTTGGAGATTTTCATTTTGAGCAACTCACATGATTTCGAGAGATGATATTAAGTGATATTAACTTACTATAGCAGTTAAATAAACATTGTCGATAATTGAGGCTCTAGCTCTCACTATTGGATGATCTGTCACTTAATATTAGATCTCATATAGCTTATGCAATCTGCAGGAACCCATTCAGTAGCCTCTTCCAAGACTCAATAACCGAGTCCTATGCAAGCCCAATCATGACTTGCATAGGACTCGGTCTTCATTTGAGGAAAAATAAAGTTTCTCCATTCACTTGTCTCCTCACCGTGTGTGTCTCGATGAGTAAGTAAATCAAGAATGGTATTGACCGGTTTGCGTGATTGACAAAGTCAGAGTCGCATCGCGCATCTTTAAAAGCCGCGTAGTGTATCGATGAGCGGGTGAGGCCCATCCACCCACTTCTTTCCTGGATGTTGCATGTGTTTGGAGTCTTGTCTGGAGTAACATACACGTACGCAAACCCGTCATCTCCGCTGTGCTCTTACCCAATATGTCCACAGTTCAACGGCCCAAACCGTTGAATAGGGTCTGAGCACCGAGTCTCACAATACAACTCGACATTTATATGTTGCTGACCCGCGTTCTTAGGCCCTTCGAGTTTCGACAAGGACGATCATCAAAGACACTGAGAGGAACAATTTCATGTTGGTAGGCTGACCAACAGTAACAAACTCCGACTCCTGGTCCGTAGAATCGTCCCGCAATGATTGTCTGTCTCAAGGAGCAATTCGGGCTGCCAAAGTTGTCGACTAACCGACTAGCGGCGTAAACCCTGGAGGCCGTTTTTGAAGGCCGACAGGGATCCTCCCTGCCCCTGGGCCCCGGTCCCCGTGTTGTGTCCTCTGCTCGCCTCGCTGAGTGGTCTTTGTCCCTGTTCCTGCTGCTCTTGAGGAGCAGTTTCCACTGCTGATGCCCCATGTTCTCCGGCCGTAACGCGCTCTCACTTGCTCTGTTTATGTATGGGCGATTGGATTGGGACATATTTTCGTACCTGCATTGTTAGACCCATTGTCGGGATTGCGTGAATGAGTGGCCTTCTGTAACCAGAGTGTATGCTTTTCTTTGCCATGTAATCTGATAGGACACGATACGATTAGAACTGTTTGAATCATGTATCGAAATAAGCGAATTGAGGGAGGCTCGAGATATCGAGTGACCAAAGTTGAGTTTGGATGTTTCCCTTTAAGTGCACCCGAATAGGAAAAGTTTATCGTCTTGTCGTCTTCTCCGTTTCTCAATCCTGCCTAGGGTGTTTAATTCTGGTCTGTTCTCCCCTGGTCTCTCCTTCCCTTCGCTTCACTTCCCCTCCTAGCTCCTGCCCATTCTCCCTTGCAGCATATCTCGTGCCTGAGGTGGGCTTAGTTCCCTTTAGCTTACCCATTGATCCTCCATCTTGTAAGGCAGGCAGGTACGGAATGGATAGCTCATACTGCAATTTACACAGTACAGTACCCATACCTACTACCTTCCCCGTACCACACCACCCAGAGATGGTAGGTACGAACGGTACTGCAATTGCTTGTACTGCACCTGCAGTCTTACTAGGAACCTTAGTACTTGTTGGCTTACAAGTTCCTCCCACCCCCTCCCATTTTGTTTTGTAGACTGCATTTCTTCTCCCTACCATCCCATCCATCAAAACCTCTTTGTTATTCTTCTCCTCTATTCTCTCTTGTTTGTATACGCGCCTCTTTTCCTTGGCTCCCGTCTGATTGCCTCGTCTCTCGCTCGCTTCGCTCTTTACCAGTCTCACTCACTCACTTGCTGCTGTATACGATAAACGTATTATTGACCCGAGTCGCTCGCTCCTCCAATTCGTCCTTCTCTACGGTATTACTTCTTGTTATACTCTCGCCACCACCAACGTACTGCGAGAATATCTACTTTCCGTTCTGGGTAATAAGTCATCACCGGGCCTATTACTCCATCAAGTCCATACCTGCGCCATATCACCACGGAACTTTTTGGTTCGAGCTGCGATCTACAGCACCAAGACGGGAAACCCGCATTTCGTCTACATCTCACCTACGGTACTGGTCACTCTCGGTCTGCGTTACACATTTGAATGCACAAATTCATGCCGCGCATTTCTTAAACGAGGCTTTGTCCCAGGATTACTCCCAAGTCTGGTTATACAGAGGAGTTCGAGTTGCCGCCCGCGTTCGAGCAGTACAGAAACCCTACCTATGCCGCTCTACTCTGCATAATACTTAGCATACGTTCTCTACAGCGACGCCTACCGTTTGTCTTGCTGACCCAAACGCTGCACCAACTCTTTAACCTTGAAGCATCTGGGACCCCGCCGCCATGGCTTATAGAGAATCAGTTCTGTCCCATAGTGGCACTTTGGAAGCGTTCCAGAGTCATCATGCTCCATCACGAAGAAGTCGCCCGCCTAACATTGATACAATGGCAGCCGCAGAAAGTCGCGTGCCTCTAAAAGCCGAAAAGGCAAGCAGAAGAGAATCGAGGTTAGGTCTAAGGAGTTTATTCAGTCGATCCAAGGCACCCAAGGAGCTGGGAATTCCTGAGACGCCCACATCTCAGGGCACATCTTTTGGCAGTCGCATATCTCTCGCTGACTCAAATCCTTATTTCTCGTCCCAAGTTGACGTTACGCCCAACGAAACACCCTCGTCTCCTCTCAGCCCGCGTATCTTTTCCTCGATGTTCGAGAGTCAGCAAAGCCCATCTGCTCCTTTACGATCAGCTGGCGCAGTAAAAGTTCAAAGCCCAGCCAAGGCGACTCGAGGGCCACTCTCAACCTGGCACCCTCCTCCTCTATTCAAGGCATTCCCTCAAGCTACTAAGCACATAACACTGCCAGCCACGTCTTTAGCACCCGAGGTTATCCTACGTATGCATGAACGACGAACCAGCACTTCGCGTGACGACACCGCAGAAGCCCTGGACACTGAAGCTGGACCTGCTGAGAAGACCAAGTTCAAGAAGAAGCACCGTCGCAACACATCTGGACCTGCACCCAAGTTCGAATGGACAAACAAGATTTACGTTTTAGTGACAGCCGGATACCTGCTACAATATGCAGCCGAAGGCCCTTTTGATCGGTTGCCCGAAAGAATATTGCATCTCACCAAAGACTCTGCAGCATTTGCGAGCGATGTTATCCCTGGCCGCCATTGGGTAGTCCAAGTCTCTTCAGCTGCCGAATCCGATGGAGCACCAGCATCCGACTCGCGGTCACTTTTCTCCCGCTGGAACTTCCGGGCCACTGAGCGGCGTCATGCCTCGAGTCTGCTCATGGTATTTGAGTCTGCTGAAGATATGGAAGGCTGGATTGCAGCGTTGCGCCGCACAATTGAGGTTTTAGGAGGAAAGAAAACGCTCACCGAGACAGGCAAGCCCAAGGCAGAGGACGAAGTCGGACCCCTAAGGGAGAAACCCAGCCAAAGGACCCTGGTAGTGAGAGACCCAAACCGTTTATCGCGAATAGCAACACAAAACTCCCAGACTGCTCAAAGTCCTGAAAGCATCCAAAGTCCCCAACTGTTACCATTGCAAGGCAGGCCAGATGTCAATCGTTCGGTCACCAATATCGTTGAGCACGAGCCTGCAGTTGATCAACCATCGGATGACATTTCCACGACCAACAGCTTCGTATCTCATGATGGCAGGCAGTTGGAAAGCTTACGCGAGAACTCGAATCGCTTGTCTTTCATATCATCTGGTCAACGAACAGTAGTAACATCGGCTGGATCCTCTCCAGAATCATCACCAATTGTCGATACTTTCCCAGTGCCCGGAGAGAACAAATTATCCCTCGAGGAGTCGCACCCTTCACTCGAGCCAAAACCACGACCTAACGCTGCTGCCATCTTGGATCGGAGACAGTCTATGCAAGTTCTCAGTCCTTTTGTGGAACTACAAGGCGGTGCTGTCAACCTACGACCCCAATCCAGCTATGGATCTGGCGCTCAAGACACGAAGACCCCAACACCCAATTTCAGCGTACCAAACTCGTCGAACCGAAGATATTCCTATGCAAAGAACATCGCCCAGGAATTTGGAATGGCTCCCCAGTCAGGTCCGTTGGAAACTCGGTCATTGGGCCGTAGAGCACCTCCCACGACTCTACCAATTGCGAGACCTTTGTCCATGGTTGCTGATCAGCCCTCTCCAATGGACGACATACACGAACGACCTGTGACACGACATGGAGATGAAACACCATCGACCATGCCTACAAGTGACGATTTGGCGTCCTTGCCTCAAATCCCTACCTCTTACGACATAAACTCACGGCGACCAAGCCTGGCGCCGATAGATGAGCCTGCCGCCGAAACTAGCCGTCCAACGAGCTTGCGCCGACATTCAGACCTCCGCCAACGTCGTAAATCCGAAAACCCTGGCGCCTTTCCACGAAACCTGACAAGCTCATCCCGAACAAGCCTGGATCAAAAGACACGCTCTCGAACATCCCTCATCGGAGCAGACGAGGCAGCTCGCCGCCGCGCTTCTCTTGATGCCTACAGTGACAGACAGAGTGATTCTATGTCAGCCAAGGTTCGGGCTCAGAGGCGAGCAAGCATGCAATCTGTGATGTCCGATCGGGCATCTCAGTACAGTGCCTCAGCCGATCTGCCTCTTCCTATGGCGCCAGAATCTCTTCCTCTACCTGCTCCTCCACCTACAGTTCCTCTTCCTCCAATCCCTTCGTCCGCGAGTAACCCTAGCCTGGTGCCAGATTCCGGCAGGAAGAGCTTGGTTATCCGACGAAGCATGCCTCAGTTGAATGAGGTCCCTCCCCCAATGCCTCCTCCAACATGTGCGCTGCCTCCACTTCCATCTAAGCTACAACTTAAGGCTTAGCTTCAAAACACGAATACTCAAAATATACCCCTTTCCTACTACTTTAACGACTACGACGGAGCGTCTCATGCGATTTTTCTTGTTTAATCAAAACGATATTGGGCGCAGTTCTTAGAACATCATCACTATTTTTTCTTTTGTTTTTGGGTCACGGATGCATACTTGTACTATATAGAACTGTTGGGCTAGGAAAGGACATACTTGTTGCAATTCCGGTTATGCGACCACGTCCTGGAATGATATCCACGTATAGGTGTACAAGGGAACAGACTGTTGAAGCTATATGATCCATAGTAGAGGCAGATGATCTCGTCTGTCTATCTTGACAGAACAGTCTAATATTATTAGTTTTGACAAACTTGAAACTGCCACATGCAGTTGCCAGCTTATTGATTCTTGAATTGGGGTGTCTGTAACTTGTCTTCTTCTTCTCAGTGCAAGCATAAGGTAATAACTCCGTCTTCAATGTCGTAATCAACAGCAACCTTTCAGTAAAGTCAAACCTCGATAAGTTAGGTGTATAAGTTGCGTTAGCTACTGAACTCTTACAACAATGAAGACATATTAGCAGCTACCAAGCTGTACGCAAGGCGACTTCTTCCTCTTGTAACCTTCAACGGATCCGACACAACAAGCGAACTAAGTCAGTTGAGAATTAGCTGCTGAGAGCATACGAGACAGCATAATTTGGTCACCTTGTGCGAGGCTAGACTGGTAATTAAGATACTTTATTTCTGTAGCCTAAGCCTTAGAGAATAATTCTTCTAATGCAATCTCTCGATAATATTAATTATGCTATCGGGAAACGATTCATCTTGGGTATTTGATAACACGCAGAATCAATGCTCTTGCTATCCGCCTCTTCTGACACCCCGGCACTATACTAGAGCTGGCTTTCTGTTGCGTTGAACGAGCCTACTAACTTCTTCCCAGAGGGGAATGAGATCAGATTCGTCAAGTTCTGCTTCGTCAACACGGTAAAGGGGTGAGCCGATCAACGATTCAACAGGCTGTATTTTGCCTCTGAAGGACGGATAGGAACCCCCCTCTGCAACGACAAATCGCCTCAAGTCACCCTTCTTAGAGTCAGCCAACAATTCGAATCCACTAATGGGCATCAATCCCCGCCATTCTTCTTTGTCTTGCTCACGCCATAATCGAACTGGATAGGCCAGAACCTCGAAATCGGTCAACTGCGCCGGTTGCTTGTCGATAAAGAGTTGAAGCAAGCGGCGCCAGTCATGTTTTTTCATGGTAAAGCAGTATCGTAAGGAGATTCTCTCCAGTGTTACTGCGTGACGACCAAGGAAGTCAATCAATCCCTCTCCGATCACAGAGAACTCTAGCTCAAATGTTTTTAACATCCGAAAACGAGGTCTGTCCCATTGGATAGGACTTGGGTCTTTCCCAGTTCTAGTGAGGATCCTGTTAATGACGGCCCCTTCAGTAGCAACGATTCTCAAACACTTGACGTTAGTCAAGTGCCTAAAGAACGGCGAGGTCGAAATCCCAGTAAAAAAGTTCATAGTGTGTCATGGAGCGTATATCCTGTTCATTCTGAGTGACTGCCAGTGATATCTCAAATGTTTCAATACTTTTGAGGAGATCGTGCCAAGCGAAATTCAGTAAACTTGACAGTAAACCAATGGGTGGGAAACCTTTCATTTCCAGACGAGAGAAGGCACCGCGATTTTGGAGATTTTGATTCAACGCTCTCAAACTCTGGTCGATAAGATGTCTCCAAGGCACTGATTCTGGCTCCCCGGAATATACGGACTGAAACCTTTCATGGGAGGGCACGCCACATTGGTCGATGCACCAAGTTGAAAGATCGAACTGAAACTTGTAAAGCGAAGGGAACTTGTGGAGGGACCCTAGTACCTGACGAGCCTTGTCGCTGAGCTTGATGCCTTGGTCGGGAGTCTCATCTTCATGAGGTCGAGGATTATGCGGGATGAATCGAATAGTGCGGACAAGTTGTTTTCGGGGACCAATGGCAACAGCGAGAGCCCGGTCTGCCGACTTTGATGTTTCGTCAAAGTCTAGTGTCGAGTATACTTTGTTTTGGAAAACAGCCATGAATCGACGGCATGTCGAGGAGAGCTTCCGTAGGTCTTGGTTGACGCATCGGCCGATCTCAAGGAGAATTTCTGGGGGGAGTTTGTCGAATGACATAGTGAATGGCCTCAAAATCTCTAAGACTTAGGATGCCTAGAGGTAAAGCAGCCTAAATGCTAGTTCGAGTTAGATAAGGTGACTGGATTATCTCGTCGAACATACATACAGCTGCCACTTCTTCTGACATTCAGGCGAGGGCCGAAGCAAAATGGAGTGAGAAGGAGGAGGATGTGAAAGGCAAGTTTGGATGGACCAAAGTCGAACCTTCCTAACACCGTTGTTTATATTTTTTACATGGACTGTATTTGCTTGCACCTGCCGTGTACTTGCTGTGCACTTGCCGTTTTCCTGGCTTTTGTCAGTTAACTGGCCGAGGGGAAGGAAGGTACGGAGAGTAATTCTGACAAAGAGAAAGAGGCGGGCAGTGGCGACTGCCTATGTTTAAGTCTTGATACGGGATGCTCCCGGCCCTGCATATTCTGAGAATAAATTACACTTATCAAGAGTAATTCGGACATATACTGAATTTATAGATCCTAGTAGCCTATTCCCGTCACATTCTATGCATTAACGTCTAAAATAGTGTCGTAAAGTCGTAATTTAAACAATATCAAGAAATAAAATACGCAAATTCCATGACCCAACTCTCATATCATCTACGATCTCGGCTGTATCTCCTGCTTTCCCTTCTAGGCGAATAGTCTCTCGGCGAGTATTCCCTCGATGAACGATATCCTTCACCAATCAGGGGATCCCGACGGTACCGGTCCTGGCTACGTCGTCGTGAGCGGCGCGGAGCCGTAGAAACGCTGTGCTCCTCTTCCACAACAATCTCGTTATCGGATGAAAGCATTGAATCTTGAGCGTAGCGCGGAGCAGGCGGGTCGACGATGACACGCGAGGCCTGGCTTTCGCTGACGAGGGGAGATCCTCTTCTGCGGCTTCGGTCCCTCGATTGCACTGTTGTACGAGATCGTGTCCTCTTTGATCTGGATGTAGCCCTGCTACGGGATCTGTTTCTCGGTCTGCGGTCCCTTCTGCTTCGGAAACTCAGATATGTGGATGTGTCGCCTGTGACTGTGCTCATAGGATAGCCTGATACCACTGTGGAAGCGCCGTCGCCCATGGGTCTCACGACGGGGCCACGATGTAGGAGCATGTAGATGAGGTATAATAATAGGAGGAAGGCTGCTACAGAGCCAAGGACAATGCCAGCGACGGCACCGGGATGAAGGGAGGTATCGGCACTCTTGTAAACTGTTGGCACGGCGGTGAAGGATGGGCTTGAGTCGTCATTCTGGCGAACTGCGAGAAGATGATGCCCTGAGGGTATCGTCGTCGATGGAGGAAGGGCGGGCATTTTGTCGGTGTCTGAATGTCTACTGCATGACAATAAATAACGGCAAGATGGATAAATGACAGCGCTGAAGAGTTTAAAGTAATTGTCAAGGCCAAGAGAGAGTAGAGATGAGAGAAGATTATGAGGCTGTTTTGTTTGTAGAGTAAAAGTAGACAGGATATCTCGGCGTCGAATCAATTAAAGTTGCACGTCCCCTAAGCCCAGTCGAGCCCAGCCACGTCGTTTTTTTCTAATTGAACGTCGTGCCCTTGCACTTGAGCGCGCGTCTTTCAACGGTAGCTAATTTTACCGAAACACGAAACAGCGTGTTTGATCTTTACTCTTCAATAAGATTTATTTTTCAGATCATCTTTCCTTATTCTGGTCATTTTCGTATAATCAAGTCTGAGGTCGGCTTCCGTCTCCAACAGCCCGCCTTCCTACTACGGTAGTTTGTTTATCAGGTTGCATGAGACCTGATGGGCTGCGAAAATCCTGTGGGTCTGCCGTGATTTGCGCCACAAGAAAGGCCTCAATTGAGTTGTGGCGCAGCGCAGGTCTCGACGGCAGCCGTGATATCTCGAGCAGTTTAAGCCATGATAAGGATCAAATGGTTAGCTGCCGCAGAACAAAATGCACTGAGTGTTTCTATGATAAGATGAGTCAAAAATCCAACTGGATTATCTCTCATTTCCTAGTTGTGGGATGTCTACCAGTGCTAAAGCAAGCATCTACACGCAAGTGGAATACTCCGGCCTCGTATTACACTGTGGAAGTCAAGAGTACAAAAGATAAGTATAGAGTCAAGATGTTAGGCTCGGTATCGGTTTCCTGGTAGAAGCCATATATTTGCTCGTTTAGTATCCTTTCCTAGATCTGGTGTCTCAAGCGTAATATAGTAAAACAACATCGGGTTGACGTTATTCGCTTAATGCCGAGTTTTCGTTTAAACAAGCGATGACTTCATCAGGCCTCATGGGAGTCATGAGGTACGGTCTGATAGACAAGAGCCTCATGCCATCGAGTTTGAGTGTGATTGATAATCTGTTCATCACTTTCACATGTCTGCGTGGGAGGCGATATAAATTTGCAACTACAACGCTTAAGGTACACTCAAAACTGTATTTGCTGTTCTGTCTATGCCGTCATCCACTCGGTACGAGCTACTGTGAGTTGGACTGTGCGTAATAGCTATCATGACACCGGCTATTTGACCGGCACCAAGCTATTTAGATGGATTAACCCGGTAGATAGTCTCAATGAAGCTGTAGGCAGACAACTTTCCGTGTCATGACTTGCCATCTCGCATGCCCGAATGGAAAGCCGTGACTTTTCCGGTAAACCCGAAGCTCGTCATCACGTGCGGCAAAGCTTTTTCTCAGCCATTTCTGGGGAATGGGACCTAGCGTTCAGCGCGGGTCCTTGCGCTGCGTCCGGCGACTGCTGAACCCCATTGGCTCCGCAGAATCGGACATGCAACCGGAGAGAAGACTGTAGCTTTGGTTGACTGGTATCAATTGATTTCAGCAAATATCTGTAAAGTGGACGCTCAGTCAATTGATTTCGTTTACAACTGAAAACGACACCTTGCAACTGTCTCATGCAATTGTCAGTATCACCGTTATCGGGAGCCATTCCGTCCATCGACTTTGCGGGATCTTTCAGGCAGGTTCGGGGTGGGTCCCTTGGGGAACAACCATGGTCCGAACCTAGCCGGTAGTGGAGACGCCACAGTGCTTGCCTCTTTCCTTCGGCTTCTATGACTGACCGGGGGAAAGAGCTTTTCTCGAGGTAAAAAAATTCGTTCCTCTGGATTCCATCTCTCCATTCATACTCAATCCTCTAAAACACCACATCCCCCCATCTACTCTCCGACTCGCGCCTTCATCCTTTTTCTTTTCCTGTACACTATACCCATATTTCCATAATCAAGATGTTGGCTTCGCGTTTGTCGAGAGCTGTAAGTAACCCCGCTATACCATAGAGCAATAATGTTGCTCTTCATATCACAATGTCAGTACTGACTTTGGCTTCAGCTTCCCCGAGCTTCCCCTCTCGCCGCTCGATCGGCTGCCTTCACCCGATCTCCTCTGGCCTCCAAGTTCGCTCGTTATGAGTCCACTGAGTCTGAGGGCAAGGTCCAGGGTTCCGTGATCGGTATCGATCTCGGTACCACCAACTCTGCCGTCGCTATCATGGAGGGCAAGGTCCCTCGCATCATTGAGAACTCCGAAGGTGCCCGCACCACCCCTTCAGTCGTTGCCTTCGCCGAGGACGGTGAGCGACTCGTCGGTGTCGCTGCTAAGCGTCAGGCCGTCGTCAACCCAGAGAACACCCTCTTCGCTACCAAGCGATTAATAGGACGCAAGTTCAAGGATACTGAGGTTCAGCGCGATATCAAGGAGGTTCCTTACAAGATTGTTCAGCACACCAACGGTGACGCCTGGGTCTCCGCTCGTGGCCAGAACTACTCTCCCTCCCAGATTGGTGGTTTCGTCCTCAACAAGATGAAGGAGACCGCCGAGGCTTACCTCTCCAAGCCCCTCAAGAACGCCGTCGTCACTGTCCCCGCCTACTTCAACGACTCTCAGCGACAGAGCACCAAGGACGCTGGTCAGATTGCCGGCCTTAACGTCCTCCGTGTCGTCAACGAGCCTACTGCCGCCGCCCTTGCTTACGGTCTCGAGAAGGAGGCTGACCGCATTGTCGCTGTCTACGATCTTGGTGGTGGTACTTTCGATATCTCCATCCTTGAAATCCAGAACGGTGTCTTCGAGGTCAAGTCTACCAACGGTGACACCCACCTCGGTGGTGAAGATTTCGATATTCACCTCGTCCGCCACCTTGTCCAGGACTTCAAGAAGACTTCTGGCATTGACCTGTCTGGCGACCGCATGGCTATCCAGCGTATCCGTGAGGCTGCTGAGAAGGCCAAGATCGAGCTTTCTTCTTCTCTCTCCACCGACATCAACCTTCCTTTCATCACTGCCGACTCTTCTGGCCCCAAGCACATCAACATGAAGCTCAGCCGAGCTCAGCTTGAGAAGATGGTTGACCCTCTTATCAGCCGCACCATCGAGCCCGTCCGCAAGGCTCTCAAGGATGCTGGCCTCTCCGCTAAGGAGATCCAGGAGGTCATCCTCGTTGGTGGTATGACCCGTATGCCCAAGGTCGCCGAGTCCGTCAAGGGCATCTTCGGCCGTGACCCCGCCAAGTCCGTCAACCCCGATGAGGCTGTCGCCATTGGTGCCGCTATCCAGGGTGCTGTCCTCTCCGGTGAGGTCAAGGACCTTCTCCTCCTCGATGTTACTCCTCTGTCTCTCGGTATTGAGACCCTCGGTGGCGTCTTCACTCGTCTGATCAACCGTAACACCACCATCCCCACCAAGAAGTCTCAGGTCTTCTCCACCGCCGCCGACTTCCAGACCGCTGTCGAGATCAAGGTCTACCAGGGTGAGCGTGAGCTCGTCAAGGACAACAAGATGCTCGGAAACTTCCAGCTTGTCGGCATCCCCCCTGCTCACCGTGGTGTCCCTCAGGTCGAGGTTACCTTCGACATTGACGCTGACTCCATTGTCCACGTCCACGCCAAGGACAAGTCCACCAACAAGGACCAGTCTATCACCATTGCTTCCGGTTCCGGTCTCTCTGAGAGCGAGATTGAGCAGATGGTTGAGGACTCCGAGAAGTACGCTGAGGCCGATAAGGAGCGCAAGGGTGCCATTGAGGCTGCCAACCGCGCTGACAGCGTCTTGAACGATACTGAGCGTGCTCTTAACGAGTACGCCGACAAGCTCGACAAGACTGAGGCCGACTCCATCAAGGAGAAGATCACCACTCTCCGCGAGTTCGTTGCCCAGAACCTCTCCGGTGAGGGTACCGCTACCGCTGCCGAGATCAAGGAGAAGACCGATGAGCTCCAGGTTGCTAGCTTGAACCTCTTCGACAAGATGCACAAGGCCCGCAACGAGGGTTCCGGCGAGCAGACCTCTTCTGAGCAGTCTCAGGAGGGTGAGAAGAAGGAGGGTGAGAACAAGCCTTAAATGTCTTGATCTTGTGTTATAAAATTTGTTACAATATCCGAGGATCAAGTATCTGTGCGGCTCAGATACCTTGACCTCCCCATGTATTTCACTGTATCATATATCCCGCCCAGCCGCTTTTACACTTTTTATGTTTCAGGGTCGGCGGACCAGGCGTTGGAGCTTTAAAACCTCTATTGAGAGATATCTTTGGTTGTTTTTTCGAGATGATGTCACGCAACGGGGGATCATGTTGAATATATGTATCATGACTAGCCTTTCATAGGTAGACTAATCACACTTCCCCCCTCAAACCATGTTTACCAATTATCAGTTCAAAAGTGTATGTGATGTGATTAAAGCAACAGCTCCGAGGGCTGTTTCTATGCTCTTACTAATGATATCGAGGTATTGTTGCTTGTCTTGTACATATGAAAATTATAAGAAAATGTTGAAGTAATTGCAGTGTCATGACATCCACCCCCACGCCGTGTTAAGTCTATTAACTCCATGCCAATGAATCGTTTTGGCTTTCTTCTGTCCCTCCTTCTCAGCCATGCCTTCGAGTGGACTCCCTCCATTCAACTCCATCATTGACCGTGCAGGCTTCAACTTCGAGGCGTGTGGGCCTGGTAATTGAAATGTATCATACAGCGAACCGCGCTCATTCGGATTTCGCAGTGGGACTCGCTCCCCTTGACGAACAGTGTTTGTAAACAAAAGTTGTCGAGATTCTATTTCGCACTCGGATATAGGTCGAATCTTTTTCTCTTTCTTTCTTTTGCTGCTGCCGCTTGATGATGCTGTTGGTGAGGGTGGTGGGTATGTGGTGTCGAGAAACCAGCCGCGACGCTTGGATAGACGTCGTTCGAGGAGTTGGCGGATGATGGATATGAAGAGAGACACAACGACGAGGATGATTGCGATTGCGAATACGGTTGCTGGATAAGGATGCATCTTAGACGAAGGCTCGGATTGCCAGTCTTTTGGTGATGATCGTGGTACTGGATTGTTATCCATTTTGAAACGAGAGTAAGGTGAGTAGAATCACAATTGAAGAACAAAGAATAAATGAAAGTCAGTTTATGATCAAAGGAAAGTGAGGCTAAGAAAAGTCAGTGAGCTTGGACCGCTGTGTTGAAGAGGCTGAACAAGCATCTTGCAACCAAAGCCCAAGTGTAATTGCAACCTAAGGGCTGTGAGGGCGTTGCGACCAGGATATTGTATGCAAACGGTAAACAAACACCGTTGTATCGGTCACGGAGCGAACTACGTTAAACAGCCAAGGTCATGTCTCTTACAGGAATGGAGTATAATGAGACCAGGCGACTAGTTCGATGAGCATGGATCAAGGGTCATTATAAGACATTCAACGAAGAATTGGAAAGTGGATATGCAGAAAACGGGCTAAGAACGTTGCGATCTCGATTCGCTAAGTTTATTTGACTATGATCTTCCGAAGCCAAACCAACCTCTCTTGCCTTGCTGAGGAGCTGGTGATTCGGCTGTCTTGGGCGCCTCATCCTTAGCCTTAGCAGGCGCTGATTCTTGTTGAGGAGTCTTGCCAGCGTATTCAATGTAATTCCAGGCCACATCGAGGAAGATGGGCTTCACAGGGATAGCGGCGAGCTTGGGAGGGAACTCGACGATGTGGTCCAGGTTGACACCACCAGTGGGGTATTGGTCCTGGGTTTCAATAAGAGGACGCTTGACGGCATCTGAGACGCTCAGCTCGTGGTTCTTTCGAAGAGTGTCAATGTGCACGATGGCACGGTGGCGCTGAAGCTCGCCGTTGAGGAGGTTCTGGAGATACTCGACGTCTTGGGCGGAGACAGACAGGCTGAGGGGAGTTTTGTTTGATCCTTCAGATGCAGGTACATTGGACTGAGATTCGTCAACAAGACCGTCAGCGTGGTTGATAAGAGCCAGAGCCTCGGCAGCATTGCCAGAGGTGGCATGGGAGCGAGCGATAGCCAGCGCCCTAAATGAATATTAGTTATGTTACCATATTGAGAAACAGAGGTTTGAAACTTACTTGAGGGCCTCGAAATATTTAACGTAAGCAGCGATCTGCTCGGCGAGTCCTTGATCGTTGGCCACACCAGGTAGCTCCGTGATGGACTCGATGTTTTGTAGGATTCCATCGTACAGAGCAACCTTTTCCTTCAGCTTAGCGAGCTTCTTTACTGTTGGGATATCCTTCTCGGCTTCTTGAGCTGCCTTCTTCCCCCTTCTCGGTGAGCTATACTGGTCGAGTGCTCCATCGTGCTCTCCCGTCAAAACTCGGCTACGACCGATTCTCCAGCTGATAGTCTCAAAGTTGACGGCGGTACGTGTGATTTGCAAACTCTGCATTCGAGCGTCGCCCTGCTCCACACCCTCGGCCCTCATCTCGTCGATTGCTTGCTTGGTAGCATCGACAGCATCTTGGCTAAGCATAAGAATTTCATCGTACGCGCCAGCTAGCTCATAAGGTCCCCGTCCCTTGGGTTGAGCAAGGTTGGTAGCCAATCGTTCCTTCGCAGCCAGTACGGCACCCCAAGCCATCGCAATTTGCGCATCCTCAATGTTGACCTCCCGAGACCTCCAAGTCAGAGTCTTGGGTGCGCCCTCGGCGCTGGCAATTCCATCCTTGGCCTTTGCTTCGTCTGACTTGAGAATGGTGGGGTCGATGTCGTTGATCTGCTTGACGAGGTTGGCGTCGGATTGAGGAAAGGCCTTTCGGGCAATAATCGGAATCGGGACAGTTCGAGGGGTCTTCAGTTGGTAGGCGGCATATCGGATAGAGGGGTCGATGGTTTCGGTGAGCAGGTCCTTGTAGAGATCGCCGGTGGTGGCAGAGGCCAGAGCACTGTAGATGACACGTGCCGCCGCATAGTTTTGCAAGCTTGCTTCCCAGCTCTGCTTCTCGAAACTGGCGGTACCACGGATAAGGTAAGCGTATGCGTTGGCCTCGAGGAGATCATTCTGAGAGGCGCCAGATACGTCGGTTTGAGAGAGGGCTTCGACAAGCTCCTCAGCAGCACGGGTGGCCTTGATAAGACGGGAGGCGATATGCGATCGAAGTCGGCCTGTAATTCCCTTGGAGTCGTTATCATGACCAGACTTCATCTTCATAGTCTGAGCCCAAGCTCGCTCGCTTGTAAGGAGAAGTAAATGGACATATCTAAACTATGGTCAGGCCAGTTTGTGGTTGAATAGTCAGAATGTGCCTACTCGTGGTTCTGGGCGATCTGCTCCGCGGTAACCTTTTCATGATCGCGAAACTTTCCGCGATTTCTAGTCGCAATGCCCAGCTTCTTTCGACAAGATAGAAGACGCTTGGTGCAGCTCTTGTGGTAGGTCGAGTAATCACCATAGAGGAGAGCCTGGTCGCGGCCCTGGACAACGAATTTGGTGATGTCCATGGCTGCGTTGTGATTGGGAAAACCAACTGCGCAGTATTAAGTTGCAATCAGCAGTTTTAGACGAGCAGTCTGGGGCTCGACGTTGGGCTGATGCGATGGCCGAAGGAGTGAGGTCGATAAAAGGACTGGATGAGGCTTGACGTGGAGGTTTAGCGGGGAGCAGCAAGGAAGGTGGGCGAAATGGCGGGGCACTTTCCTCATCCACAAAAAATCGATTAATTGAGCAACATAAATTGTTAGTGGCGGCGCAGTTTGATTATTGTATGTAATTGGTGATGGCATCATTAGAGACAAAATTTGAAGGGGAGCATTGTCTTAATATCCTGTATATTATTGTAACTTATTTTTGCAACAATGGTGCTTCAACTGACAAGTTCATCAACACCATGAATAATTGGTCTCAGTTCATGATGGACTGATGGATGGGGCAATAGACATCTACATCTCCGAGGCCAAACACCTTAATAATAAACAATGGCTTGTACAAACTTCTTTCACATGTTTTGAGTGTCAGAGTTCTGTAAACTCAGAAACAGCCACTACTAGATTGAAATTAGCATGGAGATAATATAGGTACTGTATATATTCAACAATTGGTTAAGGAGGCATGTTAGTTGAGCCACGTATTGAGGATGTATGAGTTGATTGATTCATATACAATTCCTTGATTATTTTCACATCACAAGTTTAAGTGACCCATTATTGGATCCATAGATTACACTCATTGAGTCAATCTTGATTGATATGTAGTCAGAATTGAGAGGGAGAAAAAGCCTCGAATACGTCCCGTCGTTGATCATGTGCTCTACAGAGCCTGAAGCTAAACCGGGATAGGCAGAAGGTGCCCACCTTTATGGTGAACTTGTGGCTGCGTGACCACTGCAACTCAGATCTTGACTGCGAAAGTCACGCTTTGTCACGCGCCAGGGGACGTGCTTCCCCAATCCCCAAAATCTACTAACATACAAGCACAGCACAGCACAGCGCTTTATGCGCAATACCCAAGGCAGCCTACCCCTACCTCAGGTTACTTTACAATACAAACTCTTACTCTTCCTCCCTCGGGTTTCCTCCATCTTCTCTTCTCCCCTAAATGATTCAAGGGTTTGAATCATCCTCGACTCGGTTGCGATAGAGGCTCATTCTACTTCTACTTTTGCCTCCGTGAAACTGGGGTGCCCTGTTCCCGTCCCTCTTCTTCCTTGCCCCTCGTCCCTGATAACGAATATAGAGGCGGCTTATCATCGCATTGTTTCGCCTTTGCACATTCAAGATCAAGCATCATCTCGTCTCGACATTCAAGACCAAACGCAATTTCATCTGGACGTTGGGCACGTGAACGTGAACTTTACACTCCTTCCCTTTTACTCTTTCGTTTCTTGTATCTTTTAGATACTTAATAGTCACCTCACGGTGCAATACTTCTCATGAGAGTAGCACCTCTTCTCATCCAACTGACCCGCCCAACACCTTCAACAACCTGCATCCTGCAACTAGCCGCCTGCCACCCGCGGCCACTTTAAAGAGATGGCTACAAATGGTAAGTTCTTTTGCCAGTCGTTAATCCTTCTGGCTATATTATCAGCCACCTTTTCAACCTCCAAATCCATTTCATGTTCCATATCTGACCTTGTCTAGGCCAGCCATCTCACTCCGCAAGCGGTGTTCCACCATGGAACCCGGCCGCTCTGCTGCAGCCAAACCACAGAGCGGCTTCCAGCCCGAACCTTGCAAACACCACGCATGGGCATTTCTCTCCTTCTACTCTGCAGCATAATCAAAGTTTCCAACAGCGACCTCACATGAACATGAATAGCAACAACAGCTCCATGGTCTTTCAATTCTCCAGTCCTAATGATACCCCATCTGCTGGCCCCTCTAGCCGATCTTCTACTCCAGGCAGTAGTTATGCAAATGGTTTCAATGGTACAGGTAACTTTATTGAGCGTATGAATAATGTTCAACATCGTTCTGTGGTTCCTCAACCAAAGCGACGGAGAACCGAGGACAGTGAGGGAGTGCATCAATTCATGACTCCGGTCCAGGGTGGAGGCGGAATGTTGGGACAATATGTTACAGATAAACGCAAGGAAGCTAACAGCTCAACTGCTTCACCTTCTATGATGACAGTTGATCTCACCAGTGGTAAGCACCTGCTTCTTCGTCCTGACTAAAGACCTTTGCTAACACGGCCAGGAAATGACGATGACGATGTCGTCGTGCAAGATCCCCGAGAAGAGGAAGTATGCTACGGCATGATCAAAGCTCACCTGAGCTGCACTCAAGTTCCCTCACCGAAGCCGGGTACGAAGAGTATTTGGGGGCCGGGCTATCAACCCGCCATCAAAGTTGTGCTCAAGCGACAGATTAATGATCCCTCGTTCAAGATACAAGCATATGATCACACACGCCAGATCATTGGGTTGGTTGAAGCTAATAGTGCCCGAGCTGTAGCTCCTCTTCTCGATTCGAACATCCACTTGAGAACGGATGTACGAATTCCACCCCACCCCAAGAAGCCTGGCGACGAGCCGGGACAACCCACCTCACGATCATACGACCTCGATATTGTTATGTATGGTCCGATCAAGTACGCGAGGAACGTAGGGGCACACTTGAACAAGTTTGGCCAGAAGTTGCTAGCCCCTTACCTTGTCCAAAAGGGTATCCGAGTTCAAAACCCGCACGTTCTTGAATATCGTCCTCCGCCTCCGAGGTCTTACCCGACCAATCCTGTCCACGACGGCATGACTTCTGGTGGTTTTGGAAGTACATTTACCAACCGAACCGTGGAGGAGATTCGTTCAGAAGTTATGGGCGTCTTCGATTCCCTCACACGAAACGACGACTTGCCAGAGATGGAACCCAGTCCAGACATTTTGACGCCTCTACTTAAGCACCAGAAACAAGGCTTGTTCTTTATGATGACGAAAGAAAGGCCTCGTGAGGCCCAGGTTCAGGAGAAAACAATGGTTTCCTTTTGGCAAGACAAATGGGGACAGAATGGCCAAAAGATATACTTCAATGTTATCACCGGACAGAATCAAGCCAAGCCTCCAGTGGAAACTCGAGGAGGGATCCTAGCTGACATGATGGGCCTTGGCAAAACGCTGAGCATTCTATCTTTGATCACAACCTCCACTAACGAAGCCTATACGTGGGAGCGGCAGGCACCCGTCCAGCCAGAAGCACCAGAGCAGAAGCCGACCAAGCACGAGGTTCTATCACAGCAGCCAACTCTTGCTCTGACGCCTTTGATGCAAAACGCAAGGTCTACTTTGCTCGTCTGTCCTCTCAGTACGGTAACGAACTGGGAAGAGCAAATCAAGCAGCACATCCGGCCTAACTCTCTTACTTACCATATCTACCATGGCCCCAACAGAATCAAGGACCCAGCCAGGCTCGCAACATTCGATCTCGTGATTACGACATACGGCTCCGTATCAAACGAACTTAGTTCTCGTCGAAAAGGAAAGGAAGGCCAATATCCCCTGGAGCAAATTGGGTGGTTCAGAATTGTGCTGGATGAGGCTCATATGATTCGTGAGCACAGCACTCTCCAGTTCAAGGCCATTTGTAGGCTGCAGGCCGATAGACGATGGGCTGTTACCGGTACGCCTGTACAGAACAGGTTAGACGATCTTGCGGCTCTTCTGGCTTTCCTTCGACTACATCCTTTCCATGATCGAACCAAGTTCCTCCGATATATTGTGGAACCCTTCAAGGCCTGCGATCCCGAGATCGTGCCAAAACTGCGAATTCTCGTCGACACAATCACGCTGCGCCGATTGAAAGACAAGATCGATCTGCCTCCTCGAGAGGACCTTGTTGTCAAACTTGATTTCAGCCAGGATGAGCGCAGTATCTACGAATTGTTTGCGAAGAACGCCCAGGATCGTGTGAAAGTCCTCGCGGGGACCCATAACGGCGGTCAAGCACTCGGCGGCAACACTTACATACACATTCTCAAGGCAATTTTGCGACTTCGTCTGCTGTGTGCACATGGAAAAGATCTCCTCAATGACGCTGACTTGGATGCATTGCAAGGAATGTCTGCGGAAATGGCAATTGACATAGATGATGACGACGACGATAACAACAAGCCAGCTCTGTCCGATCAGAAGGCACACGAGATGTTCACTCTGATGCAAGAGACTAACAACGACGCATGTATAGAATGCAGCAGGAAGCTTGGTTCTAACGAGAGCTCCAACATCGAAGCAGAAGGACAGGATGATATCCTGGGTTTCATGACACCTTGCTACCATGTCATATGCCGATCTTGCATCAAGATGTTTAAAGAACGGGTCAAGTCGGTGACAGCACCTGGTCAGAACAGCGGAAACTGCCCAGTTTGCAACGCGTATGTGCGACACTGTTTTGTTCAACTTCACCGAAGGGAAGTGGACGCGGAGCATGACGGTCCAGCCAAGCCAAAGTCGCGAAATGCTGTCAAGAACTTTGACAAATACGACGGTCCTCACACCAAGACCCGTGCTTTGCTCGAGGATCTTTTGAAGTCAAAGGCGGCAAGCGAGGCAAACCCGCACGAACCACCATTCAAATCGGTTGTCTTCTCTGGCTGGACATCCCATCTGGATCTTATTGAGCTCGCTCTCGATAACAACGGGATCGTATCTACCAGACTGGACGGAAGCATGAGCCGCACACAACGAACCACCGCCATGGACAGGTTCCGAGAGGACAATAGTGTCCATGTAATCCTCGTGTCCATCATGGCTGGTGGATTGGGCCTGAACCTGACCGCTGGAAACAGCGTATACGTGATGGAACCGCAGTACAACCCGGCGGCTGAGGCCCAGGCTATCGACCGTGTCCACCGACTGGGACAGAAACGACCTGTTCGCACCGTTCGATACATTATGAAGGACAGTTTCGAAGAGAAAATGCTGGAGCTTCAAGAGAAGAAAAAGAAGCTTGCCAGTCTGAGCATGGATGGTCAGAACAGGACCTTGGATAAGGCTGAGGCAGCCAGGCAAAAGTTGATGGATTTGCGAAGTCTTTTCAAATGAGTGATGAATGGATTCGGTTCATGGAGCAATAATGACCGCATGAAACAGGCGTTTTCGGTGTGATTTTCTTTTTACTATCATTATTTGCTATACTCGACTCTCACGAGATGGTTTTCATTCTTCTGGGTTCGCATCATGGGATTCGTGGCCTGGGTGGCATGCGACACTACAAAATACAATCCTGGGATCTGCTATATGGCATGGCGTAACTGGGACCCGGACCTTTAGGGGAGGACAAATGGGACCTTATGATATAGACAATTCACGACTTTAAGCGCGTACTTCTCATATCGTTGAAATGCTCGATTGACTGTCAAGGTTGAATGATTCGGTGGTATCTTAGTTTTACAATGAACCCAATCTACTAGCCCCTATAACGCCTCTCCCCTACCAACCATTTTCGTCTGACAAATCTCTATACTCTATGTCGACTCTTCTTCCTGCCGCAGACCAGCGTACTCTGTTCCTTGGTTCGCAGTACTTAAGCGCGCACAAAGACTAAGCAACACCACCGTCTCCGTCGCAGCATAATGGTTGAGCGCGTCAAGCAGAATTTGCAGATGACGGCTGAAATTGCCCTCCCATTTACGGATGATCTCAAACAGGTTATCAATACGGGCGTCTGCGTCACCATTCCCGGCAGAGTCCCCGTTGGCTGACGTAGAGCCGCGTTGAACTACCTTGGTCATTTGGAAGCGCTTCCACTGGTCTGCTGTCATGGTTGTGGGCTTGTTGGTGCCCGAAAGATCTGGGTCTGACTTTTCGAGCTCGCGGGTGAGCCAGTTTGTGTAGGCGGCGAAGATTGTGCATGTCTGCATGAGTTTGGAGTGGATCTAGAAGGTAAATTAGTTATGGTTGGAAGCGATTAGTATTGAGGCGAGACTTACTCTCAATAGTTTGCTGTTGGTGAGCATGCATTCCTTGAGACATGTATCCAAGAAGTCGACATGGTCCTGCATAAGCTCATCGACGGTTCGCGTCGGGCCTCCAGAGGTTGAATTGACATCCTCATCCTTCGTCTTTAAACGAGACATGAACTTATTCCAGTTTGGTTCAATGACTTCAGCTGTACAGAAGTAGAGTAGTTGCTGTACAAAGACCAACATACGGGCACGAAGCGTCCAAACGCGTCGTTTCCAGATTTCGAGTTTTCTCGAGCCGCCTTTGTGTGCCCAGCTGACGCCTCGAGTCTGTGTTTGCCACGTAGTCGAGAGTTGTGACTCTAGATAGCGTAGAGAAAGTAGGTAACGGAAGAGGGCTTGGTATCGCCACACAGTCTTTCGGCTGATGACGAGTGAGACGGGGAATGGGACAGAGTAGTCGAGTTGTAAAGATGTAAAGCCCACAGCATTCTTGTCGTTGTCAACAGGCTGGTTAGCTAGAGGCTGCAGCGCCTCGCCCTGCTCAATACCAGTAATGTTGACAACACGCTGCAGAGCTTTTGTAAGGATAGTCTCATTCATCTCAACCTTGACATCCTCTTTGAACGGATCAAGGGAGACAAGACTTCCGGGCTGGCGCAGGACAAGATCCAGTAAAGATTGCAGCTTGCCGGTGTTAACAGACTTGACAGGTTTGCGCAATTCAGAAGCGCCCAGCTCGAGGAAGTAAGAGAAGTAATCTGATGGGTCGAGGAAGAAGTAGTGCTTGAGAGAGCGTAGACGCGCGGGTAGTGAGTGAGCTGTGAGGAGTAGTTGCATGAGGGATTCGTTGGCATGAGCGTAGGCGTTATTGACGTTTTCGAGGAATCGGTTGTCGTCGAATGAAGCTGGGACGTCTTTGGCAACTTTGCTAACATCAACGCCACCACACTCTCGAACAACGTTCAAGTACTTCCCAGCTAATAGAACCTTGTCCTTGACGCCCTCGAGTTGTGGCGGAACGTCGTGATCTCGTATTGTGTATCTTCTCTCCCAGTATTCATCGGTATAATCCTGCTCCAGCCTTTCACGGCGAATGCTCTTTTGCTCTTTGATGAGGAATTCTGCATGGGGGTCATGAATTGAACCATGATGGAGCCATCCGTTAAGCATAGACATATAAGGCTTACTGGCATCCCGCAGTAAAGTTGTTAGCAGCGCTCGAGCTGATGGATCTCCCGACAAAGACTCCAGTCGTTTTGTGATTAAGCCAAGAACCACGCCACCTTTGTATATCTTTTTACCAGTCATGTTTCCTGGCATTAAGTCGCCTCCATCTTGAAGCCTCTCAAGGATGTTCTCGAAATCATCGCCACTATCTTCAGATTCATCGGTCTCATCATCAAGCAGAGCGTTCTTTTTGAGTAGTTCATGGGCGAGTGAGTAAAGCTGTAGCATCATCTGGCTGGTGGACATGGTATGAATGTTGAGCACATGTACAGTGAACGTTTCGCTGGTGAGAAATTGAGTCTCAAGCTGCGCAATCATAACAAGATAGTCTTGTAGAAACTTGCGTATTGATGCGCAAAGAGCGTGGTTTACAGCGCCAAACTCCTCTCGACTCTGAACATCAACGAAAGCTTCCAGAGCGGAATAGTATGTTGCCATCTTGAGCATTGACTGAGTCAGGTCCTGCAGACTCGGATCAAGGCCTGGCAGCGTTCTGAAACTGGGTCCTGATAATCTGTCTCGCTCTTCATTGGGGTTATATCCCTTGGCGAATCTGATATACTGTCCTTCATATCCCATGAAGACAAAAAGGAGGTCCTCTACTATAGCAGCTTCTTGGAGCTCCAGGCTCAGCTCACCCAGAGGAGTTGGCTGGGGCGCTTGTGGTATGGTCGAAGCGAGAGGCGGTATGGATATTCGACAGGCTAATGGTGCTGTCGTATGTGGTAGGAGGGTTGCTTCAGGGTTCCATGGTACTGTATAACGAGTCAGTCTTGCGATCTTGAGGTCCATAATTCAGAGTAACAGACCCATAGGAGTCTCAGCTCTCGATTGCCGAGCTTCTGGTATATCATTTCTCGGTGCTTTCGACGTATTTCTACTTTCTGAAGCAGCATTGCGTCGATGTGCTCGTTCCGGACTCGTGGTTCTTGGTACCACGCGCTCAAGTTGAGCTTCAAAGCTGCGTTCTGTCACCCTCCTCGACTCGAATCGGCGCTCTTCATCATGACGACTCGCAGCCCTAGGATTCGTCGAAGCAGAACGTTTATGAGCACCAGAAAAGTTGGGCTGAGGCGAGGGACCCTTGCGAGAATCGGAGCGTTCGGTCTTGAGGTTGGCTGCTGCTGCTGCTGCTGCTGAGACGCGGGGCCTATCGTCGCGGTAGTCGTTGGCGCTTGTTCGGCCCGATGGTCGTGGTGCGCCGGAAGACATTGTTCAGCAGGACTGGGCTACATCTGTGAAGGGAGAAGAAGCTCTCGAGGTGTAGTCGCGGATATAGACGCCTCTAGCTTAGAGTTGTTGATTTGGGGGAGCTGTAAGTGTTTGTGCCCAATTGAAACGCGCGACGAGGCCTGGGTCGACGTGACGTGGGGTTGGTTCAGTTGTTTGGTTGCGGATAGAGTCAATAATTCATGCAGAGCATTTAACAGGGTACAAATTATACTATATTATTCAAGCCATTCTAGTAGTTCTACTATATACTGGTAGTTATCCAATTAACTTTATCGTCTATCAATTCAATGCTACTTTAAATACAGAGTATAGCTGAATTAATATCTTGTCAGGCTGTATCCAATTCAGAGTGTGGCGCAAAACTGTGGCTGTCCACTAACAAACTGGAAGGCTCCAGCTTCTCTTGTAGCGCGGCTGGCTGCTGGCTGGCTGGCTACGTAGGCGGACTGCTTGCCTGCAACTCCACCAGAGCTCGCATCCTCACTCCCATCATTGATTGACTCTCACTCTTTCAGCCTTCCCCATCACGACTCCTCCCACGCCGACTTCGACTCCATCTCACGAAAACCAATTCGCCATTTCGCTTAGGAAAGTTCTACACACGAACTTGACCTCTTCATAGACTAGGAATCACCCGCCCTTCTTCAGTCTAGCTATCATCACCACACACAAACCGCCAAGATGTTTATGGCAAGATCCGAATACGGCATGTTCACCCTGTCTTTCTATGGAAATCTATAGATCTTCTACGTTGCCCGATCTTCGACTAACACTCCGTCAGACCGAGGCATCAACACCTTCTCCCCCGAAGGCCGTCTCTTCCAGGTCGAATACTCTCTCGAGGCCATCAAGCTTGGCTCCACGGCCATCGGCGTAGCCACCTCCGAGGGTGTCATCCTCGGTGTCGAGAAGCGCGTTACCTCGACCCTCCTCGAGACCTCCTCCGTCGAGAAGATTGTCGAGATCGACCGCCACATTGGCTGTGCCATGTCCGGTCTCCAGGCCGATGCCCGCTCCATGGTCGAGCACGCCCGAGTCGAAAGCCAGTCCCACGCCTTCAACTACAACGAGCCTCTCCGCGTTGAGAGCTGCACCCAGGCCATCTGCGATCTCGCCCTGCGATTCGGTGAGGGTGCTGACGGAGAGGAGACTATCATGAGTCGACCTTTCGGCGTTGCTCTGCTCATTGCTGGCTTCGACGAGGATGGTCCTCAGCTGTTCCACGCTGAGCCCAGTGGTACCTTTTACCGTTACGACGCCAAGGCTATTGGCTCTGGCTCGGAAGGTGCCCAGGCTGAGCTCCAGAACGAGTACCACAAGGTGAGCTCCCGTGTTGCACCTTTGTACCAACAGAATTGCTGATATTTCCATAGTCCCTGACTCTCACAGACGCAGAGACTCTTGTTCTCAAGACATTGAAGCAGGTAATGGAGGAGAAGTTGGATGCCAAGAACGTGCAGTTGGCTAGCGTAACCAAGGAGAAGGGCTTCAGAATATACACAGACGAGGAGATGGCTTCAGTCGTGGAGCGACTGCCAGCCAACTAAGGACATGTTACTCATGAATCAAGAGAAATTACGAATAGACACAAGAGACACCCAGATTTGAGGGCATCCAAGGCGTATAATGATAGGCTCACCAAAAAGATACATATAGGGAATTTTTGGTGAGAGCGCCCATAGCCTCATAAGAGGTCAATATTATGTATGTATCATTAATGTACTGTAACGGTACCCACTGCAAGCAGCGCCAGATCTAGAACTACCTCCTATCCAATGCGACTCATGAACAATACTTTCGTCTCTTTCCCTTCCTTCCTTTGTCCGTTTCAAAATCCCTATGATACGCTTATCCAAAATACGGATACTGAGAGATGGCGTGCTATACAAAGATTCAAGAAAGTATCCATGCCCTATATATAACAAAACATTTCACACCTCGGTTCGACTAGTTGTCATCTTGGAGATCGAGAGCCTCAAAATCACGTTCCACACTGAGCAGACCCAACGCAAACTGGGCTCGCTCGACCTTGGGTACGTGAATCTGCCGTCGGATTTCGCCAGTATCGGCTTCTTGAATAAAGCGGTCGATTTGCCGGGGAGCCTGCCATCTGGCGACAGGTACTGGCTCGGTCTCAGCGGCCCTAACATAAGGAGGTCCACGGCCGAGTTGCGCAGCCTTCATCCAAGACGACTCGCATCCTGTAGCGATGCGTTCTGCTGATTGCCATCCAGTTAATCTGGTAATGTCGCGCAGGTGCCTTATCACCCAATGTCGTTGTTGCTCGTCTCGATACTAATACAGTGTTAGCCAGGTACCTGAGCAATTTTACAATCAATCATCCACATACCTCGATCGCTGCCACAAAGAGGCAGAAGCAGCTCTCGATAAATGCAGCACTGACAAGGGTGGTAATCTCTGTAGCCTGCGAAACATCTTCTGACAAACCAGCTGCTATTCGTCCCAGCTTGTTTGAGTAAGGACCTGTCTGAGGTGCTGCCATACCTGCTGCCTGCATGGCTGCAGGAGGCATGGAGGGGTGGCATCGCATGAGATTGATCATGCCCATATAGAAGTTCATCCAGATTCCTGCCACAGAGAACGTTCGATACTGCATGGTCATTCCGAACGGCGAGTCTCGCTTGTCTGAGAACTCGGGCTTAAGTGGTTGAAATTCCGGACCCAGTTTGCTCTCGTATGCTTCGAATCCTCGCTTGATGGACTCCCACTCTTCTAGAGCTATGTGGTAACTCTCGTCCAAATCACTGTCTTCTGTAGAGTCGCTCTGGGGTGATGTCTCTTTTGGCGGTGTGAAACCCCTTGGAACCTGGAACTTGCCATCTGTGGGAAGAATACCGTTAAACGGCGGTGGTGAACTTCCGGCGGCTCCTGGGGGAGGGCCTCTAGCTTGACCCGCACGTTTCTTTCGCGGAATATCTTTGGAAGAGAAATCTGCAAGTCTGCCAAGTAACAGCATCAAATGATCATATGAGCCATAGCTTGGGTTGGTAAGTTAGTTGTAGCCCGGGCACACTATAGTTCTTACTCACATGGCTTCAAGTTTCGATATTGGTGCTCGAGGTGGGCACTGAGACCAAGATTCGTAGTTCATGCTATAGTAGTTGGTTAGAAACTCAGTGTTAGAAGATAGTGCGAAGACTTACAATAGTCTAGTACCAGCCAGCATGCTTTGGTAAACGTCCATTTTGCAGTACCACCAGAACAGATCTCGTACGTTCTCGTAATGCTCGATGTCTCTATCTGTTACCGGACTGGATGGATCGATTCCTTGATTTTTCCCAAGCCCATAGTCTTCCGCTGTGATGTTCTGACCTGATATTGTTTGCAACAGTTCGTAGTCGTGATCGTTGAGTTCGCTCTGAGACGGTATGCTCAAACCAGGGAAGAAGCTGTCCATCTGGTTCTGGTTTTGTGCATCCTTTTCTGCCTGCTTGAAGCGTTTGACTGGCAAGAACTTCCTTGACATCTCCCTTAGAGGTATTTCGCTGAACAAAATCCGAGCTCCTAGAAGATGGTTGCACCACTTGGTATGGTCCGACGACCAAACCTCGAAGTATGACAATAATAGTGTCGCAGCTATGGTTGCAGGCTGCGTTCGTCTCAGGGGTGTGTTCACGTTCCTAGCAATTCTTCGAATCGCCAAGTGGTAGTGTTTCATGGCGGCTGTAGCCGGGATGTTTTGTAACTTGGCTATTTGCAAGGCACCCAAAGCAAGCATGGAGTGAAGCAATGCAGGATGGTTCAAGGATATGACAGGGAAGGTATCTGGGAAACGATTAGTCCTGTATGTTTTGTTCTTGCCATGAGATAACTTACAACTCCATAAGTTGTTAGCGCCTTTCGGGGTAGGGTCAAAGGAATTCTCGCCAGTATGATCGAAAGGATGTCTTTCGTATAGTGACATGCTTGGGCCTGTGACTTGGATGAAATGCATAAAGATCTGCAACATCGCAGGGTCCTTGAGTTCTGTTATTCTGGCCGTAGCTGTGTAATCAGACAGAATATTGCACTGGGCAAACGTCGAAAAGGTCCTAACTCTCGTGCCGTTCGTATCCCATGTTCCATTAAACTGCTTCATTACAGGTCCCAGAACCTGTCGAGGATCATGTGTTTCATCATCTGATTCGCCCATTGAGGCATCGTCCTCTGGTATATCAAGGTCTTCGTACTCGATGCTAGGGGCGGGTTCTGTTTGGTTCGTGTCCATACTTCCCTTTTTGACGGGCAGGGGCTCTGCCTGGACAACAATTGGGTAAGGTGGACCGTATTGCCCATTGAAAGGAAGCATGCCATACTGATCTCGTGGATCTGGCGGTGGCCTATTATAATGTATTGGCGGTTCAGGAGGCGTCATCCCGTTGGCTTGGTTACAAGGATGGGAAGCTGATCCAGCGTTGAAGTCGTATGGATTTGGTCCTGGTTGCATAGCTCCTTGCCCATGAGCATAGTGCCCATAAGGTGCTGGTTGGTGTCCATTGTAGCCGAACGATGGTGGTTTAGGAGCAATCATTGGCAATGGTCCTTGAGAAGACGGCTTTGGCTGTAAGTAACCAGGATGCGCAGATCCGGGAGGATAGTAAGCAGGGCCATAGGGACCTTCCTGTATTGCGCCCATCGGGTGCTTGAAGATGACTCGTTGGTTGTAGCCCTCGCATTGTCGCTTTGATTTGATACAATTGTTGCATATTGGCCTTCCTTCGTCACATTTTATTCGGCGCTTTCGGCAAGCTTCATGAGAGCTTGGGTCAGTGTCGCTATCCTCATATTGTGCTTGTAAAGGGTCCCTCAGGCAGGCAACTTACTCAAGCATCCGGTTTTTGTTCTTTTGCGAATATTGTTTCTCTTTCGATCCGGGTCGTCTCTTCCTTCGTCTTGCTGATGGGAATCCGCAGGAGCCTTTTGGTTGACAGATGCCGATGCAGACGTAGCCTGGTCCCTATCCATGATATACGATTTCCCAGATATTTTTCAAGTCCATACAATTCTCTCCAGGTAGGTAAACAATTTACATGACGATGTTGGGAATGTCAAGTATGTAATTCAAGGCTTCAATCTTAACAAGCCATGTTACCGAGTCACGCTAGTTGTATAAGTAGCAATCGGTAGATGAACAGCCAGCGAACTTGAACTGGAAATGGCCTAGTCTGTAGGATGAAGGTTAGAGCCGAGCGAACATGGAGAAGAAACAATAAGTGGAACTATCTCTCATTGAGAAACAATGAACAATATTCAAAATCACGACTTGAAAGTTCGGTAGAGTAGAAGAAATGGAACGGTGCGTACAGTACTGTTGGTGCGAGGAGAGAAGCAGTGATGTAGTTGGCCAAAAGATTGTATCTTTGGAGAAGATCCAGAAGAGCGCAACGCAAGTAGAACAGAGAAAGACACGGACCGCTGTATGGATGAAGTTAAGTTATGGGGAAGCTTCTGGAGGCAAGTGATGGAACAACTGAAACATGCTGGTGTGACTTGAAAGTCGGCGGTTTGCCCAATTCAACTGGGCCGTCGGAGCGAGAACTGGTAGTCTGGAATCTGGAGTCTGGCCGGCGACAGGGCAGGGAACTCAGTCAAGGGTATGATGACGAACTTGTGTTCAGTCAAGGTTCTGTCCTTTGTCTCGCCCTGAGGTAAGGTCAGGTCTGGTCTTGTAGATGCTTGTCTGAGATGGCCTGTTGGTTTGTCTCTGATATGTATGGTTCTCCCTTTTGCGAGTGAAAGTATTATAGCCCAAGTGATAAAGACCTCTGATTTATGAGAGAAAGAGGGGTCCAGGAGATCGACAGGACTTGGTGACGTTAAATGTCAAGCTTGGTATTGAAGCAGTTGAGTGGATGCCTTTGATGAGGAACCAAACGAGAAAGGGCCGAGGAAGGGCAGTGATGCGTTGCCGGAGATGCCTGTTGGATTGGTGAGGAGATATTCAAAATAGGTTTGTCTAATTGAGGCAAAGTAGTTTAGAAGTGCATCGGAAGTTGAGATAGAATAAGGTAACCAAGTCGGATGTTGTGGAGTGGACGGACGGTGGACGGTGGATGATGGGCAATGGGGATGCTTGTGGTGGTTTCCCCCGTTCTACTGTGGGGGGGCAGTTCTTTCTTTCCGGTGATGGTTGAGTGCTTGGATGGCGCCTTCCCCTAAATTGGCATGGTAGAATAATAGGAAAGTGCACTACACTAGACAAGGTAAGGCAAGGCAGGTTGACTCTGTACCTACCTGCCTTTACACAGTGTTGAAGCAGGCGCTGTAGTGCCGGATAGGTATAAGTGAACTAAAAGTTAACCCCTGTTGATGAGCCTAGAGCAAGATAAAGAGCCTACCGGATCTAAATCTACCGTAGCAAGTGGAGAGAAGAGATTCAAGATGCCGAGCGCCCCGGTGGAAATGCCGGTAACTTCCAGGCCCAGAATATCAGATCTCACGTTTCATTTTCTTCCCTCTTATTTTTTTACTCTCTATTTTAACCCTTGCGGATAAGACAATAAGGAGAGAAAGGGTGGGTGGCACAGACGAAAGTTGGAGAGACACCAAGTATTTTTGCCTGAATGCTGAGTTGAGTCGAGTCGAAGGCATCTTCACTTTGCTTTTTTTAACCATGGGGGATGGGCGATCAATAGCAGCGGCTCCGAGGCACAGCAACAATACTGGTATGAGAGCGGCGTCTAGTCTATCTCCGAGAATAAAACCATACTGTTGCACCCTCTGAATACGCGGAGAGGGCTCTATTATATCATCGCTAACATAGTGGTACATATTTTGGTGATAACTGTCCAAGTTTGACCTTGCATCAATCACTCGAAGGATCAACATCGATAGCTCCTAATGTAGTTTGCTTCCTAGTCTCAACAGATGACAGGGGTCTAGATTGGCTCAACCAGACCCTCATGAGGCTAAAGAAAAGAACAACGATATCATTGATGCCCTCCTTCTTGCTTCTTGCAGGGCACGCGCTTATGGAACTGGAACTGGAACTGGAACTGCCGCTTGATGACTGCAGGCGCTAATAACCAAGACACTATCGTAGTGAAGTTAAACGTTGGCCTAGCAAATGTCTTGTAATTTAGCTTGTCTAGGTTCCCGTATCTTGTCCAGGTTGCAGAGCTAGCTTTTAGTTTGGCTATTTGACTGTAAATCCCGTCTATACACGGAGAATGATGCGAAAGGATCTATCATAAAAAGGCGTCTCTGTTTGATGAGGAATAAGCAACTGACTCCCTACGTAGGCTATACATTTCGTCTACACTGGTAGGTATCAAATTGGCGCCAAGCAAAGACAATATGAACCTCAAACCGACCAATGCTACGTGCTCAACCTATACGTAATTTAATTCTATTGTCAAGAGAATCAGAGTTTCTTAGCCTGCTCTGTCAACCTTATTGGAAACTCCGCCAATTCCGATCTGTATTCAACTTGGAGTTCGTCTGCATCTCCCAACGATAAAAGAGACAGTCTATGAACCAGTAACGACGGCACGAAATTCCCTTCTTACACAGTACAGTGCCTGTTTCTTATTTTGGCAATGCCAGCACTAAATAAGGCTCACTGTGACGATCTGGCTGCTCCTCCTACACCACCATCTCGGGCTCTATCTTAGAGTCCTAGACCACCCTCAAGTGTAAGCTGCAATTTTAATTCCTCTAAATGATAATTAATCATTTCTTCCGTCTACTAACCCCATGTATTATCGGGCCCTTCTCGGACGGTTCCTTTCTTCCCGTCCGCCGAAGCCTCCGAACGAACGGCTGCCAGAATCCGATCTTCCCTTCCATCCCATACCTAGTAGCCAACCTTAACTTATCACTGTACTGAGAAACCTCATATGCATGTTTGTTACACAAGGCCCAGTCGAGATTCTAGCCTAAACATGTTCCTCTTTCCACACATGGATTATTTTCAACCCCCCTTTCGTCTCCGTTGGGCCGTCAGATGAGTTGCTAACTACAGACCGTTGGTCCAAGAACGTTTATGTATTGCTCTCTACGAATATGGGATCCCTTGTACGCTTGTAACCAACGCTCCTTTTATTTCATCCTCATGATCCTAGAACAATTACTTGACGCGAGCATCGACTAAGCTGTATACGGAATGTTGGTGTGACACAAACAAAGCACGGCGTTGCACACCCTTCGTTTCCCGTCTTGTCTTGTCTTGTCTCTCTATTCAACAAAAGGGTACGACCACTCATCTAATCACAGCGCGAGCACAACACAGTACAGTAGAAACATGCTGCCCTTTTGCGTAGCCTCAGGGTTCTCTGCATCATCGTTCGGTCTTTGGTCTTTGGTCTTGGTCTTGAACCGGCATTGATCGCTATTGGAAGACCGATCCTTGCCGTCTAATTATGCCGTGAACCCCCCGTGCAGTGGTTTTGTTCTTCTGATGTTGGACCGTGAATATGATATGATCACTCACTCTTTCATGGTGAATCGACTAAAGTTGTCTGGTAAAGTAGGCGACAGAGACATGTCTGAGACTATTTCAGAACAAGTCGGCGTTGAGAATTGTCTTCTCTGCTACAACCAGTTGTACAGGCGCTTCTGAACAAATGTCGTGGCGATCAAGGTCTTTGGAGGCCTACGGCTATGGTATACCTGTGCTTCATACTTTGTGTTTGTTTCACCAGTAAGGACTTTGTATCTGTACCTGGACCCGTGGGAAAGGAGGAATCTGTAGACAAAGGGATATTCTCGCCAACATCGATCTTCATTCCTCCCGTTGTCAAAGACTTGAAGCTCGGATCGCGAGTTCGCTACGCGATGCTGGCCGCGAATGATCAATGTATCAACAAGCGGTTGGCCAAATGGTGCGCTTATCCTTAGCATTGGATGAATCCATATTGCCTCGGGCACCAACTAATTGCCTTCTTAGCCGTAACGCCACAGCATGGCAAGCTTTTCCATCCATGGATATATCGGTCTGGTCCCTGTCGTGCTTTGTGAAATCTTCAAAATGGACGACGCCACCTTGATCAGTGCAGGTCAAGACCCATGTGCCTCGTGTTCAGATTAAGTATTCATGAGAGCACGCTTGATCGTGGCAAATCAGGTCATCTCAAGTCGTCGGAACCGTGCATTGATGAGAGGTGGTCTCGAACTGACTGAGTCACTCCTAAGGTTGCCGAATGCTCGAGGCCTGATGGCCGCCACTGCTCGTTCGGTAACAGTATGTGTGTCTTGAGGCTCTTTTACTGTGGCAGGTCACTAGTCATGCGATGATACTAGTTGCCAGTCAATTTCTGCACATAGCCGCTATCGTGAATGGCACAATATGCGAGTGGTGATATGGATGATGCATGCACCGCGATGGACGGCAGGTTATAGGACAATGCCAAGCCATATCATGGGGCCTGAGTGACTGTGAAGACAGAGGATACCTCTTCTCGCAAGCTTGCATCCCACCGATTTGGATGGGTCATGACATTCGGGGATGCAGACGAGTGATTCCGCTGGGATGACAACAGGACAAGTATTGATGCTTTTAAAGGTTGTGGAACATCTCTAAAGATCTCAACTCTTGAGTCATCATCTGTATTTCTCAAAGACGATGGTCTGAACCTGGTCTGAGAACGAGCCTGGGTAAAGAGGTAACATGCTGCTAAGCTTATTTGGTGTGAGCATACATAGAGAGGCTCTGATTCACTCTCTTCGTACGTACCTAAGTATCTATGGGCTGGGACTTTGTTACTGAGTTGGTTTACTTTGTCTTAATTCGAGTTATCGGCGGAACTTGTATCAGGCATGGAGTAGTTCCATCGCTAAGAGACAATTCCTTCATCAAAAATGTAAATCCAAACTGGTTTGCGAGGGTCTGGGCATAGTTGAGATACTAATATGCTGATTACTCTGTGGCTACTTTGTCTTGGAATTTCCGTTCGATGAGTAGTTTAGAAAAGATAAAATGTTCTCATCAATTGGCTCTTTACTTACAGCATTGCTTGAAACGACAGTGGGTGAAGTTGGCTAACACCCAAATACGGCAGGTGCACAGACCACTCGGTGGATCTGCCCAGACCCTTGAGGTACGTACCTCGACTACCTAGCAAAAATTCAGATCTCGAAAATTATCGACGACTGAGACTTCATCCATCACATCTTTCATCAACAAACAAACCAGACATTATTTAAAAATGTTCGCGGTTCCAGGATGGTCAGTCGCATCCGACGGCCTTAAGGCTGAGACTGTTTCAAAGAATAATAACAGCGCGCCCGGCGCAAAGTCCAACAAGCGCAAGCGCAACAACAACGCTGCTGCGCAGAAGAACGTCGACTCTTCAACTGTCGCGGATCTATGGGAGTCTGTTATTGAGGGCAAGAAGCCTGAGAAGCAGGAGCAGCAAAAGTCTGAACAGTCTGCTAAGAGGCAGAAGAAGCAGGGCAAGGGAAAGAAGCCTGAGGGTGAGAAGACTGAGGGCGAGAAACAGCCTCAGGAGGTTAAAGAGGATGGCGATGCCAATGAGGCCGAGGCTCAGCCCAAGCCCAAGAAGCAGAAGAAGGATAAGAAGCAAAAGCAAAAGCCCGAGGATACCTCAGCAGAGGATGTTACTTCGCCCGCAAAGGACGCTGTTGTCAAGGCACCGCTACCTCCTGCTCCTCCCAAGCTCACTTCCCTCCAAGCTTCTATGAGAGAGAAGCTCATCTCAGCGCGTTTCCGACATCTCAACGAGACACTCTACACCCGCCCATCCGAAGAGGCCTTCAGCTTATTCGCTGAATCACCCGAGATGTTCGATGAGTACCACGAGGGTTTCCGTCGCCAGGTTAAGGTTTGGCCTGAGAACCCCGTCGACAGCTTCCTCAAGGATATCCGCGCTCGCGGCAAGGCCCGTCAACAAGGCAAGGGCAGACCTGGAGCTCCCCCTACGCCTCTCTCCAAGACACCATTGCCTCGCACACAGCAAGAGTGTACCATTGCGGATCTCGGATGTGGTGATGCTCGTCTTGCGGAGGCTCTTCAAAAAGATGACAAGAAGTTGCGCGTCAACGTAAAGAGTTACGATCTTCAAAGCCCAAGCCCTCTAGTCACCAAGGCCGATATCGCCAACTTACCTCTCGCTGACGGTTCCATCAACATTGCTGTCTTCTGTCTCGCTCTTATGGGCACCAACTGGGTCGATTTTATCGAGGAGGCTTACCGTATTCTACACTGGAAGGGTGAGCTCTGGGTTGCCGAGATCAAGAGCCGTTTCGGTCCCATTCGAAATAAGAACGCCCCCGTGACTCACAGTGTCGGCAACCGCAAGAAGAATGCCATTGCTGGCAAGAAGGGCAAGGGCAAGGGTGCTGATAACGATGCCGAGCACGACGAGGATTTGGCTATCGAGGTAGATGGAGCAGACGACCGCCGCCGAGAGACGGATGTGTCAGCCTTCGTCGAGGTGCTTAGATCACGAGGATTTGTCCTCCAGGGCGACCGAGAGGCGATCGATCTGTCCAACAGGATGTTTGTCAAGATGCACTTCATCAAGGGCGCATCACCGACAAAAGGAAAGCATGTGAAGGAGCAAGAGCCCCCCAAGGGCAAGAGGCCAATCATTCGCAGGATAGATCCCATCGATGCGGAGCCAGAGGTCAACGAGGCCTCTGTCCTGAAACCTTGTGTCTACAAGATCAGGTAAACAAACACAAGGGTGATTTGAGATTCCATGGGCATTTATAGATTAGTTACTGCGACGAGCAATACCCGCACCAAAAGCTGATGAGCAATTTGTACTGCATAACAACGTGTAATTCTTGTATCTTGTTACTCCTAATTATCATGCTCCAACGCAAACGTCATACCTGTACTCGCTGTCCATGTCCTTGAAGAGAACGAGATCTTTCTATCTGTCCGCTTTTAAAACAGGTGCTAAAACAGTCATCTATCATTATGCTCCCCGCTCCATGTTAGTTATTTTCCGTCCTGACCCCGGTACCGCCCAATGCGAGTTAGTATTGACGCCAGTTATACCGTTCCGAGTTTTTCATAGCCTAGAAGAAAATCAAACCGGCGGCGACGTCGGGATCGCCCTCGGCAGCCTGAAGAGCCTGTATAGCTTGCTCTCTGGTTGCGCCCATCGATACAAGACTCTCGATAGCTTGTGGCGAAATGTTAGTTCTCGGGGCAGCAGGTTGAGCGGCCGGCTGAGCTTGAGGTGCAGCAGGCGGGGCCTGTGCAGGTGGAGCGGTCTGCACCGGCGTAGCTGAAGGCTGCTGCTGCTGCTGCTGTTGACCAGGAGGCACAACGGCTCCAGAACGCTGACCGATTGTCGTACCATCAGGGCCGGGCAAAGTCGGCTCTCGTACAACTGCTTCTTCTTCATCCTTTGGAATCTCAGCCTCTCCCAAGAAAGGAACCTCTTCGCCTTGGATGCAAAGTTTGTCCTTGGCTAGATCAATGGTAGCTTGGTATCGCTTCAGCATATCAAGGCCAAGCAAAAGATCGACCGATTTGCCCTCCATAACAGTAAAGCTGCATGGCAAGAACAAGTTGCCTATTTTGATCTGAGCTGAATGAACACGACCAATAATGTTGGCCGTGCCGACACCGCGGGCTACACCAGCGAAGCGAGTGTCAACGAGTCTCATGATTCCACATGCCTCGGCACATTGAGGAGACATGATAGTAGCTTGAGCACCGGAATCCACAAACGCCTTAACTGGGTGGCCATTAACTTCCACATCAACATACAACATGTGGACTCTGCCAAACACTAAGAGAATATCGAGTCAGCAATTGGGTCGCATCGTAATATGCCATATTAAATTACCTTCGGGGTTATGTTCCATAGCATTCTGTAAGTTCTCCATAACTCTCTCTTGGCGAATCATTTCTTCAATCTTTCTCTGGTTGTCAATGTTGAAAGGGTCGTCGTTCAGTCTCTCGATCTCCCGCTGACGCTCTTGCCGCTCACGTTGCTCCCGGTTCTGGCTATCATGGAAGATCTGTCGGAAGCGTTCGGGATTGTCAACTGCAGCTGCGAGTTCAGGGTGCTGAGACTGAAGCTGCTGTCTCAACGCAGGCTGACCAAGGATTTGAAGTCGAATGAGTTCCGGATCTTGCTCATTTCTAGCCGGTCTCCTAGGTTGAGGGCGTCGAGCTTGTTCCGGGACGCCAGTGCTACCTCTCATGTCTCTAACGTGCAGAGCCAACATTTCTCCATCAGCAATCTGCAGCTGTTCCATTGTTTGCGCATCATCCGAAATCAAATGGCCGTTGTGATAGATGTGTTGCGAGGTGGGAGGAATAGTCGATTCTGCTTGGATAGATTCACGAAGGGTAGCCAGCGTCATGTCGGGGAAAATCTCGAGGGTGAGCAGGCTATCCTGCTCCCCAGCCTGGGGGTTAAATATATTGAGGGTGATGCGCCTGTCGTCGAGGTTAGCATAGCTGTAGATGACGTAAATGCATACGGGAGTGAACCAACATTGTAGCGTGTCTCTTGGTTTGTTGTTGTTGTTGTTGTTG